TTTTCCCGCCCCAGAAAAGTTTTAGTCAAGTTTATGGAAAGGTAAAATGACAGTACGAACAAAGTTTAGGGAAGTTAAAGGGAGAGGAGGAGAAGTGCAAAATGAGGAAGGAAGGAAGGAAGGAAGGAAGGAAGGAAGGAAGGAAGGAAGGAAGGAAGGAAGGATTTTCAAAAAGAAAAAGAAAGAAAGAAAGGAAAAAGAGGAAGAAAGGAAAGAAAGGAAGGAAGAGAAAGAAAAAAGAAAGAAAAAGAAATTTTAGCAAAGTTAAAAGGAGAAAGGTGTAAAAGGAAGGAAGGAAGATTGGAGGGGAAAAGGAGGGGAGGAAGGAAGATTGGAGGAGAGAAGGAAGGAAGGATTTTGAGAAAGAAAGAGAAAGAAAGAAAGAAAGAAAGAAAGAAAGAAAGAAAGAAAGAAAGAAAGAAAGAAAAAAGAAAGAAAGAAAAAAGAAAGAAAGATTTTTTTTTTTTAGCAAAGTTAAAAGAATGTGCAGGAAGGAAGATTGGAGGAGAAAAGGAGGGAAGGAAGGAAGGAAGGGACGTTCAACTTTTTTGCATAATAGAATACCAAAAAAATCACAGCCTCAACCTTTTGCTTTACATTTCTAAATACAGAAAGTCCTCCACTTACGATGATTCGTTTAGTGACCGTTTGGATTTACAACAGCACTGAAAAAAGGGACTTTGGACGAGTCCTTGTACGTACCCCATAGCATCCTCACAGTCACATGGTCAAAATTTTGTTGCTTGGCAACTGGCATGTATTTATGACAGTATTTGCACCATCCCGGGATCATGTGAATGGGAGAGGCTGGATTTGCTTAAGGACCGCGGGATCTGCTTAACGACTGCAGCGATTCGGTTAACCATCATGTCGAGAAAGGTTATAAAATTGGGCACAGCAGCTTCCTTAACCATCCGCCTTGCTTAGCATTGGGAAATATCTAGTTTCAATTACGGTTGCAAGTCGAGAAATATCTGCATTTCAAGCCCTTTCAGTTAAAAAGATCATTTTAATCATCCAAATCTAAAATCAGAGTTTTAATTCCCCCCCCTCAGTTTCGAGTACAAAAATCCAGAAGCGATTAATTAAATCCAGAAGCGCTTTAATTAATTAAAGTGAAGAATTTATCTACTCTGAATATAGAATCCAAAGTAGATAAATTCTTCGCTTTAATTAATTTTGCCAAATCCACCCTTTTTCCTTGTGGGAATTAGTGTATCTTTACGCACATAAATTCTCATGCCGATCCTTCCAAATCAGCGGCGCCCTCACCGCCTCTTGTGGCAATGAGTTCCGCCAGCTAACAAGGTCCTCTTTGCATCATATAAATGCAAAGTCAATGGCAACTCAGCCCAAACCTTACATCTATCGCATTTCCTGTTCCAGTCAGCTACATGGATTGCATAAATTCTGCCTACTCAGCAAACTAATATTCAATGAGCTGGAGATTATTCTCTGTAGCTGTCTTATTATTGGACGATCATTTATGTATGAGCCAGCCGTGTGCGGCAGCTGCCAAAAAAGTCAACGCAATCCTCGGCTGCATCAACAGAGGGATAGAATCGAGATCACGTGAAGGATTAATACCAACTTTATAAGACCTAACTTGGAAAATACGGCGTCCAGTTTTGGTCCCCACAATATTAAAAAAGATGTGGAGACTCTGGAAAGAGTGCAGAGAAGAGCAACCAAGATGATTAGGGGACTGGAGGATAAAACATATGAAGAACGGTTGCAGGAACTGGGTATGTCTCGTTTAATGAAAAGAAGGACTAGGGGAGACATGAGAGCAGTCTTCCAATATCTCAGGGGCTGCCCCAAAGAAGAGGGAGTCAGCTATTCTCCAAAGCACCTGAAGGCAGGACAAGAATCAACGGGTGGAAACGAACCAAGGAGAGAAGCAACCTAGAACTAAGGAGAAATTTCCTGACAGTCAGAACAATGAATCCATGGAACTGCTTGCCACTAGAAGTTGTGAATGCTCCAACACTGGAGGTTTTCCAGAAACATTTGGACAACCATTTGACTGGAAAGGTATAGGGTAGTGATGGCTAGCCTTTTTACCATCGTGTGCCAGGAGCGGGGAGGAGCGCGGGGGGGGTCACGCGTCCGCGTGCCCACACTCATAATTGTATGCGCCCCGCCCCCGTGAATGCGCTAGCAACTCCTCCCAGGCTCCCCTATGCTCCTGGCACGCGATGACCCCGTGGGCCTGTTTTTCTCTCTCCCCAGGCTCCAGAGCCTTTCTAGGAGTCTGGGGAGGGTGAAAACAGCCTTCCCCCCTCCCCGGAGGCCCTCCGGAGGCCGAAAACAGCCCGTTTGCCAACTTCCGGTGTGTCCACCGATATGGTTACGCGTACCACCTGTATAGGATCACCATCACGGGTATAGGGTCTCCTGCTTGAAAAGGGGGTTGGACTAGAAGACCTCTAAGGTCCCTTCCAGGCCAGCCCTAGGATTCTACGTTCAAAATTAATACACGACCTTCAGTCAGGCCATGATCTTCTTACATCATAGTCCCGTGATGGCGAACCTATGGCATGCGTGCCACAGGTGGCACGCGGAACCATATCGGTGGGCACACCGAAAGTTGGCAAACGGTCTGTTTTCGGCTTCCGGAAGGCCTCTGGGAAGGCCTCCGGGAAGGAGGGAAGGCCGTTTTCACCCTCCCCAGACTCCTAGAAAGGCTCTGGAGCCTGGGGGAGAGAGAAAAATGGGCATATCGGTGGGCACACGAACTTTGCCCTAGCTCAGCTGCCCCGCACGTAAGCGCACAGGCCAACTGATTTTCAGGCCTTCCGGGCATACTGGAAGTTGGCAAACAGGCCGTTTCCGGCCTCCAGAGGGCCTCCAGGAAGGTGGAGAAGGTCGTTTTCACTCCTAAAAAGCCCCTGGAGCCTGGGGAGGGCGAAAAACGGGCCTACCGGGCCCACTAGGCCATCACGTGCCAAAAACAGGAGGAGCACGGGGGGGGGGTTGGGTGTGCATGTGCGGGGGGGTGGGGCGCATTGAATTGTGGGTGTGGGTATGCACGCGTGTGACCCCACACACTCCCCCCGCTTTTGGCCCGCGAGAGCAAAAAGGTCAGCCATCACTGTCATAGTCAGTCAACAGGGAGATGGGGTGGCATATCAATAAATAAATTAAATAGGAATGTATAATAAAGCACCTTTGCATTTTTTGTTTTGTGTTTTGAGTTCTTCGACATACACACCTCACCCCCGGTTCGTTTGAGCGGGACCTTCAAATCTGTCATCCCACTGGAGTCCCCGTGTGTGTAAAAACTCAGCGGCAGAAAAACATAGGAGTGTTCGCATCGAGACGTGCATCAGATATGAAGAGAGCCCAAAAGATTTTTGCTCTGATGAAGCCATACCATACGTGTAGCAACATTCATATGTAAATCTTAAGCAGAAGGGAACCACATGAAAATACGGGCTTAGAAACAGTGCTGGAGCGGTTGTGCAATTGTGTAAACAACCTGCAACCATGAAGCAATTAACTTTCGGTTTGGTTAAGGCTTTTGAGTGAGCGAAGGGAGAAGGGAGCAATCGGGACCAAATTAAATAAATGAAATGGATGTCTTCGTTGCGCCACAAACGTACGCCGATAATAACAACGCTAGTTTCATCGGGCATTTGAGGTCTTTGATTTGGATAAAAGGGAGCGCAGCTAGTCCTCGGCTTATGGCCACGATTGAGGGCAGAAGCTTGTTAAACCAATCCTGCAGTTGTGGTCAGTCAGCGAAACACAGCGTCCCCCGTTGACTCCGCTTGCCGGAAGCCGCAAACGGGAATCACATCACATGACCCCCAGGATGCTACAACCGTCATAAATACACGCCAGTCGTAATCGCATGTCCACGGGGACCCTGGGATCTGTAGTGATATTCAGCCGGTTCTATCCGGCTTGCGCGAACTGGTAGCGGCGGGTACGGGAGGCTCCGCCCACTCCGCCCACCCACTCGTCACGTTTTTAACGATCTTCACATGCGCGGAGGTGCACACGTTCACATTTGCGAATCGGTAGCGAAGGTAAGTGAATACAACTCCTGCCTGGGACGGTCGTAAATGCGAGGACCGGTCGCAAGCCGCTGTTTTCAACACCACGAATAACTTCTTACGGATGCTAAATGAACGGTTGCAAGTTGGGAGCGACTTTTAATCAACGTTTCCCTTCAGCGTCTCTTCCTGAGTTTGCCGACTGCATCCTGTTGGACAATTGTAGGCATCAGAGGCAAACCCGGCTACCACGTTAATTTACCGTCGCAAGCCTTTGCACGGACAGTTGTTTTCCTCTTTCGCCGGCATCCTGGATCGCTTCACCTGGGCTACCAATTTTTTATTCATGCTAACTTCCTTCCTCCCTCCAATTGCACAGAGCAAGTCATGCAGCCCGAGCCCTGGAATTTGGCAAGCCGAGAAACGTGCGCATTTAATATGCGCATGACAAGGCTCTTTAATAATAATGTTTTAAAAAAGCAAGTTACTAGTCCTCAAGAAGAAGGGGCTGGGAAAAAAAGAATGCAGATGCGTGAAGTTCTAAACGGGGAACCGGGGTGAGGGGGGTACATTTGACGAGGCGGATAATTTAATCGCCTCGTGCGTTTTTCTGCACTCTCCTAGGTTTGCCCACCGAAGCTGGCATCATTTCATAAACAGAGCCAAGGAAACAGTGATACCCTGTATTTCGTGCCTACCTGTTAGGGCAGTTGTAAGCAGAAAGAGAGAGAGAGAGAGAGAGAGAGGCTGATGGAGGGCACGGCCTAATTTGCAAGCGGTAGGGCAGGGCAGCTTGGCTGAGGTGCCCGATGTCGCACGCCTGCTAAAATTTGGCGTGCAGTTTTGTGACATGACGGGGAAGGCTTGGAGAAGAAAAAAAAAAACCTGCCTCACGCCTTACCCCGCTCGCCCAGCATCCCAAAACGCCCGGTGTTTCCTCTGCTGCTCCATAAATCATATCTTGATTTGGGTTTTTTTTTTTTTTAAAAAAAAAGGCACCGCCCTCTTTGCTCCGGGGTGTCGAGGTAATTGCAAGGTGCAGGTGTGTTTTTCCTCTCTTCCTTCCTGATGAGGATCTTAGAAGGCCGGTGGCATCCGTCCTGGCAAGGCTGAAAGCTGAGCACCGCATCGCCGGCGTGGAACGAGGTACCCGCTCCAAATCCTGGTGGCAAGGCACATTGGGCGCAAGCTGCAGAAAAATCCCCTTGCAAGCAAGAGATGTAGAAATCCAGCAAGTCAAGGCCAGCCTTTGTTTTTTTTTTTCCCTGACACTCTACATTTCTGCTTGCAAGGATTTTGGATATTAATTCTGAATAAGGGTGTGTGGGGGGGGGGAAAGAGTTGACCTTCTGAGCCCAAACAGGCTGGGATGATGATATTATTTAGGAGCAGTCAGTTAAAAAAAAACAAATCAGTGAGATTTATTAGTCCTATTTAATGATGGGCGCTAGTGGCAACGGCTTCCAAATAGAGTCAAATTAATTCTCTGCAATCCAGTTCTTTAAAATAGGGTGTGCATTTATGTCTGTATGTGTATGTGGAAGGAGGCGTAGGTAGAATTCAATTTCGGGCATTCATGTAATTTGATCCTGAAATTCGATCTGGAAGCCTAAATTTAAACCGATGGGATTCCCTTTCCGGTTTTATTGAGTTATTTTTATGGCGGTTTTTGCTTATTTACTTATTTTGGTTGGTCAGAAATGGTCTCTGCGGCGGACACCACTTTTTGTCGCAACGGCACAAATGTTTCGGAGTTTGTTTATTTATTTATTAGTTCGATTTATATATGCCGCCCTTCTCCGGAGACTCAGGGTGGCTTACAATGCTTTTAAGCAATAGCCTTCATACTTTTGTATATACCTGCTTAGTATGGCTTTTTGGGCCCCCCAAGCGGTGTTCTATTTTATACAAAGTCAGCTTATTGCCCCCCACAATCCGGGTCCTCGTTTTACCTACCTCGGAAGGATGGAAGGCTGAGTCAACCTTGAGCCTGGTGAGATTTGAACTTGCAGTCATTGCAGACAGCTGGCAGCTAAGTGCTACTTTAACAGCAGTTTAGTCCGCTGCGCCACCAAGGCTCCTTTACATCAACAAGGTTGTGATATAAAGCTGTAATGGTGGGGGTTTTTTTTGTTTTAGGGACCCAGATTCCGATGTGCTAATGTCCTAAGGAACAAAACCGGTTTAATTTTTAGTTCTAATTTTTTCCCCCCACGTTTTGACAGTTTGGGGATCAATCTATTTGCCCAGCCGATCAATCGATCGATAGCTGGATAGACTGAGATAGTCCTCGACTTACGACTACCACCGGGATCGGGGAAAACGTTGTTAAATCAGTCGTTAAAACGAGGCCTCCTGGGACCGCGCGCAATTTTGCAACCCTTTTCTGCTGCCGTCACTAAGCGAATCGCTACAGCGATTACATTACATTACAGAAATGTAATGCATGTAATGCATGAGACATTACATTGACTTTGTTGGTTGGAAGCCGGCTGGGAAAGTTCGCAAATAGCGACCAGGTGGCCTCGGGAGGCTGAGATCCGTCATAAATACCGTATGGGATGTTTGCTCAGTTTTGATCCGGTGACCTTGAGAATGCTGCGGCGGTCATGAAGTTGCGAAGACCCGGTCCTGAGTCCTAGGAATTAAGAAATGCTTAGGACTTCATAGAAATTTAATAAATAAATAAGTCACTTTTTTTCAGGCTGTGGTAACTTCAAACAGTCACTAAACAAATGGTTGTAAGTCCAGGACTATCTATATATTTATATAAATGGAATAAAGACATCAACAGGAGGTATTCTTGGGGTCCCAGTGCAATTCTTTTATTGCACCCCCATAATAATAGAGGTCATCTAGTCCAACCCTCTGCTCACGCCTGTACTAGGGATTCGAACTGCCAACCTTTCTGATCGACAGGCTCAGTGGCTAAGACGCCTAAATGAGATGAAACTAAATAGAAGGAATTGAGAAGGGCCAAATTGTAGCTGTGACGGAAGAGAAAATGCATATTGAAAAGATCATTGCCCATGCCCGTTATAATTATTCATTAGTTTTATAGCTCATTTCCTTTTCGGAAATCGAGGCAGCATAAATAATATGCCTCCCTCCTAGATTTTTTGCTAACAGGACAATCCTGCAAGATAGGCTGGGCCGTGTGTGAGAGAGAGGGAGAGAGAGAGGGATAAAAAGAGAGGGAGGGAGGGAAAGAGAGAGGAGAGGGGCAGAGGGAGGGAAAGAAGAAAGGAGAGAAGGAGAGGGAAGGAGAGAAAGAGGGAGGGGGAGGGGAGGAGAGAATGGGAAGGAGAGAGGAAGAGAGAGGAGGAGAGAGAGGCAGAGGGAGGGGGAGAGAGGGAAGGAGAGAGAGAAGGAGAGAGACAGTGGGAGAGAAAGAAAGAGAGAGGGAGAAGCAAAGGGAGGGAGGGAAGGAGAGAGAGCCAGAGGGAGAGGCAGAGAGGGACAGAGTGGGAAGAAAAGAGAGAGGGGTGGAGAGGGAAGGAAAGAGGAAGAGAGGGAGGGAGAAGGAGGGAGAGGCAGAGGGAGGGGAGAGAGGGAAGGAGAGAGGGAGAAGCAAAGGGAGGGAGGGAGAGAGAGAGGGAGAGAGGCAGAGGGGGACAGAGTGGGAAGAAAAGAGAGAGGGAGAGAGGGAAGGAGAGAGAGAGAGGGAGAGGCAGAGGGAGGAGGAGAGAGAGAAGGAGACGGAAGGAGAGAGAGAGACAGTGGGAGAGAAGGAAAGAGAGAGGGATCCAAAGGGAAGGAGGGAGAGAGAGACAGGGTGGGAGATGCAGAAGGGGACAGAGCGGGAAGGAAAGAGAGAGGGAGAGAGGGAAAGAGAGAGAAGGAGGGAGGGAGAAGAAAAGAGAGGAAGAGAGAGAGAGGGAGATGGGGAGAGGGAGAGGGAGGGGAGGGATGGAGAGAGAGAGAGAGACAGACAGAGAGGGAGTCAGGACTGGCCCAATATCATCCTGGTTGCAGATTTGCCTTGAAATGCCACTGGTGTGAAATCACAACCTTCTTAAAACAAGCCAGGATCTCTTCATGAACTTAGCCTAAACTTCCGAAATGAAACTACCATACCCTCAAAAATCTGTGAGCCAAGTTCTCTCTCTCTCAGCTAGGTGTGGGCTGAGAAACCTCTGTGTCATTTGCATTTAAATGCAATCTGACTTCAACTCGCATTTTTATCCCGGCAGTACAGTGACGGAAATTATTTTCCCAAACCGGGGCTTGGCGAGGCATTGCCACACCGCCCACTTTTTTCCCCCAAAAAATCGAAGCCATACCGTTCGGTTCAGATCTCTGTAAAAATATTAGATATTTTTAGATATTTTTAATTATAAATTGATTTTAGTCGGGGTGTTTTAAATCTTATATTGGGCCAAAACTTGTTTCATTCTTTTGAAATTAATCTTAAATTTTGCACGTAATGTTTTTATTCTCGGCTGTTCACCGCTCTGAAACCAGTAGGAAAAGGGCGGTATAAAAATCTAATTAAAAAAAAAAATAGCAACTGATTGGTTCGCGAAAGTAGCGAGCCAAATACGATCTGTGCAATACAGAGATTTGCAAAGTTCGCAAGTTGCAATGCGGAGGAAAGAAAGGGAGAATTTTTTTAAAAAATGAACAAAAACCAGATATCCTCCCCTCAACCCAGGAGTCAGCAACCTGCAGCTCTGGAGCCGCATGTGGCTCTTTCACCCCTCTGCTGCGGCTCCCTGTCACTCAAAATATACATTGCAACTGCCAATGTGTGACACCTGCCAGCACACGATTTATTGAGTTTTTCAACCTCCGGTAGGCCAACCATGGATAAATCCAAGAAAAGAAAAGTTTCAGAAGAAAACAAAACATTTAATTTAACTACCTATGCTAGTTTTGTGGCCGCTCAAGAAATAGGCACAGAAAGGATTTTTGTGGCTCCCGGAGTTTTTTTTTCTGTGGGAAACGGGTCCAAATGGTTCTTTAAGTGTTTAAAGTTGCAGACTTCTGCCTTAAAAAAAAGTATCCTTAAAAAAAAGTAATGAGAAACTGAAATTGACTGATGGGCCAAGGGAATTGATCGACAGCCAAGGAAATTGACTGACTCACCCAAAGGGAATTGACAGGTTTGGTCTTTCCTCTGTGTGAAATCTCGGGGACCGGATTGGCTGTGGGTGGAAAAAAAAAAAAACGTTGGGAAAAAAAGTCTTGCTTAATTGCCGAGTGTGTCAAGGACATCAAAGGAAACTGAGGATGATCTCTGTGGCTTAGTTTTTGCAGTTTGGAGGTGCCTCCCTCACCTGTTCGAAACCAGCTCGTAAGGGACCGAACTGGGGGAGTAGAAACGTCGTGGGGCTCCAGGTTTCTGTGCCAAGAAACGTACCTGCCTTGGATCCAGCAACCGTCTAGTTTTTGGGCATGGGAAGCAGCAAAGGATTACAGGTTTTCATTTCCTGCATGCTTTTAGGTAAGTCGCACGTTCTGGATTTATGTCTTCGTGATGTCTCCGTTTTTTAAAGCCCAGGCTTTTCAGAACGTGGCAGCTTTGAGATGGGTGGACTTCAATTCCCAGAATCCTCTGCCCAGCTTGCTTAAAAGATGGGTGGGCTTCGACTCCCAGAATCCTCCATCCAGTTTCTTTAAGATGGATGGATTTCAACTCCCAGAATCCTCCAGCCACCACATTTTAAGATGGGTGGACTTCAGCTCCCAGAATCCCCCAGCAAGCACGCTTTAAGATGGGTAGACTTCAACTCCCAGAATCCCCCAGTAAGCATGCTTTAAGATGGGTGGACTTCAGCTCCCAGAATCCCCCAGCCAGCATGGTTCAAGATGGTTGGACTTCAACTCCCAGAATCCTCCATCCAGCTTGCTTTGAGAGGGATTGACTTCAATTCCCAGAATCCCCCCCCGTCAGCATGCTTTGAGATGGGTGGACTTCAACTCCCAGAATCCTCTGTCCAGCTTGCTTAAAAGATGGGTGGGCTTCGACTCCCAGAATCCTCCAGCCACTTCATTTTAAGATGGGTGGACTTCAGCTCCCAGAATCCCCCAGTAAGCACGCTTTAAGACGGGTGGACTTCAGCTCCCAGAATCCCCCAGCCAGCATGGTTCAAGATGGGTGGACTTCAACTCCCAGAATCCTCCATCCAGCTTGCTTTGAGATGGATTGACTTCAATTCACAGAATCCTCCACTCAGTTTGATTCGAGATGGGTGGGCTTCAAACTCCCACACAACTCCAACTAGTATGCTTTAAAATGGGTGGACTCAACTCCCAGAATTCTTCATCCAGCATCCTGGCTGGGGAATCCTGGGAGTTGAAGTCCTCCCCACACCCTCCCATCTTAAAATGGCGAAGTTTGAAAAACACTGGTTTAATAATTCTTTGATTCCCTTATTTGTTTGCAAACAAAACCTGGAAAGAGGAGCAAAAGATTGGAACGGAATGGGGCCAACACCCCCAAATTCCTGTCTTAGGACAAGCAATGCTATATTTTGGGAGAAAGAGGCAGTGTGGAGTAGGGATTAGAGTGCTAGTTTAGAAAGATTTCATTCCGTTTCCCTTTAATCTCCCTCAAAAGGACTATTATGGTGAATATTGTTATTGTTATTCCAGAACAATTGTGTGCATATCACGATTAACTTGGATGCTTTTTCTCACTGTGAGCTGAGACACGGATAAAATACGGAGAACGTTTTTAGACAGAGAAATTAGGAGTAAATAATTGAGGAATAATAATTGATAGCTGCCCCTATTTTAAGGGATTAGTTATATTCAACCTTCAGCATTTTACTTGAATCTGCTGGGATTCTATATCATAATTTTCTCTGGCACAGCCGTTTCCTTTCTTGATTTCTTTTGTCCTTGGGTAGGTGGAAAGAAAGAAAAGAAAAGCCACTTTCAAACCCTCTTTTCTTCTTTTTTTGAAAAGTTAGGCTTCCCTTAAGTCAAAACCCTTGTGTGTCCGATCATACCCTGTTTCCCCGAAAATAAGACCCAACCGGAGAATATAATATGCTCGTAATATAAGCCCTACCCCCAAAATAAGCCCCAGTTAAGATTGTCAGCCAGATGGGTGCATTTAGTACCATATTTCCCCAAAAATAGGACCTAACCAGAAAATAAGCCCTAATGTGTCTTTTGGAGCAAAAATTAATATAAGACCCGGTCTTATTTTGGGGAAAATACGGCACTTGGTCAATAAAGTATATTCTATTCTATTCTATTCTATTCTATTCTATTCTATTCTATTCTATTCTATTCTATTCTATTCTATTCCATTCCATTCTAATTCTAATTCTAATTCTAATTCTTTTCTATTCTATTCCATTCCATTCTAATTCTAATTCTAATTCTAATTCTAATTCTAATTCTTTTCTATTCCATTCCATTCCATTCTAATTCCAATTCTTTTCTTTTCTATTCTATTCTATTCTATTCTATTCTATTCTATTCTATTCTATTCTCGTAAATTGTAAATTCTACTCTATTCCATTCCATTCCATTCCATTTTCTCTTCTCTTCTCTTCTCTTCTCTTCTCTTCTCTTCTCTTCTCTTCTCTTCTCTTCTCTTCTCTTCTCCTCTCTTCTCTTCTCTTCTCTTCTCTTCTCTTCTCTTCTCCTCTATTCTATACATTTTACTATTCTATTCTATTCTATTGTTATTCTTATTTCTATTCCTATTCTTATATTTATTCTATTCTATTCTAATTTCTGTTCCATTCCATTCCATTCTTATTCTTATTCTTACTCTCATTCTTATTCTAATTATCCTGCTAGTTCCTCTTGTTTTCTTGGCAAGTGCCCTCAGTCTTGGCTTTTTTTCCAAGCTCTCTTGCAGCTTCCCAAATTTGTCCCCGTTTACCTTCCCAAGGTCAGCCGAGGTTAGCTAGAATGTTGCCTCATTTCAACAGCTTTCAATTGCGCGATCAGATATGGAAATATTTACCTACTCGTGTTTTTTCTCCCTCTCGAATCTGTCAGAGGTTTATCCTAAAGTCAAAGCTACCAGGTCTGGCTGAGATTCCACCTCGCCGTGTGTAAATCCCTTAAATTGAGTTTTTAAGAACCATGATCGTAAGAACTACGATCCGTTTGCAACCATCCGTTCGGGTGGATTTTATTCCTGTCCTTTTGTGTGTGTTTGTGTGTGTGTGTGTGTGAGACATCAAATCCTGCTGTTGTTGTTGTTGCTGCTGCTGCCACCAAATTTGCATCCTGGTCTCCGTGATTTTTGTGAAATGGGTGCAATCTAGGCTCGCTTTTTTTCTTTTTTTTTTTTTTTGGCAGATGTTTCATGATCCAACTCGGTTAACATCATCCGTGCTAGAAGGGAGTGGGTTTGCACTGATAATGTTACCTAGTTGGGTCGTGAAATGTTTGGAAGAAAGCAACCAAGCTTGGAGAACATTAAAGACCCTGCAATATTCCTCGCCCTCCTTCTCCCCATTCCCTTCTAGCACTGAGGATGTTACCTGGTTGGGTCATGAAACATCTGCAAGAAAACAAGGAGGTCAGAGGGCACCAAGGACACCACAATCGGCCTCCTCCTCCTCCTCTTCCTCTTCCTCCTCCTCTTCCTCCTCCTCCTCCTCACTCCATCCCCTTCTAGCACTGATGATGTTAACTAGTTGGGTCATGAAACATCTGCAAGAAAACAAGGAAACTCAGAGAGCATTAAGAACCCCACAATTCTCTTCCTCCATCTTCTCGTTTTCCTCCTCCTCCTCCTCCTCCTCCTCCTCCTCCTCCTCCTCCTCCTCCTCCTCCTCCTCCTCCTCCTCTCCACAAGGACCCCTCCTTTCAATCCCGAGCTGCAAATATTCTACTGTGATACCTAGATAAAGCCAAGTAAACAAACCACAAAGAACAAGCGTAGTTCTCCGCGTACGGCTAGGCCCTCTGGGAAGCCGCACAGCTTCCTCGCCCGCCACAAAGGAGAAGATGACCGAATTCCTGTAAACAAAGGCTTTGGAAGGGGAGATACCCTGCCATCATCATCTTAATTATTAGACACGGCAGAGGAACGAGTTACGGAGCGATGGCTAATGACGGTTGTAAGGCTGGCATTATCTTTATCCTCTGCCGAGATCTCACCTGCTGAAGTCAGGAATGACTAAGCTGAGGAAAACAAACAGATCCGTCACGCTGACAAGCTGAAACCACAATCTCGACAGGCGTGGAGTTTTATCCCTTGGATTGTTTTTTTCTTTTTTTAATTTTTTTTTGGAGCAGCAAGATAATTGGCATATTTGGGATGAGGTTTTAATTTTGCTTGGCAAGCCCACAAGCGATTATGGCTTTTAACGGAAAGACGGGATTAAAAAGGAATAATAAATAAAACCAACCTGGCCTCGTTTCAAAAGCCTTGAAGGTGTTTGATCAAGATTGTATGGATGGTGAGAAGAGCCATCTTTTTATCGAGCAAAAGGAAGGAATATTTGGGGGAGAGAGAGAAGGGGGGAAAAAAGGGAGACTCTTAAAAGCGATGCGTAAACAGCCGGCAAAATTTGACCCTCTCCAGATAGAAGAGAATCTCTCACACACAAACAAACACCAATCAATTTTCTAGGGAACTTTCAGAGATGTCCAGCAAGGGGTTATAAAATAGGTAAGAAGTCAAATCAAGAGATTGTAAGGCAAAGTGCAATTATAAAACCAAGGCATGCTTAAGAAAAAGAGCAGCTGAAGGGAAAAGATGGAAGAAACCAGACTTCCCGATTGCTCCTTGCCAAGAATTGCAGCCATCCGGATGCCTTCTTCTCCATCACTGCTGGATCGTCCAAAGACTGTGGAAATTAATCAAGGAGAGAAGCAACCTAAATCTAAGGAGTAACTTCTTAACAGTGAGAACAATTAACCAGCGGAACAACTTGCCTCTAGAAGTTGTGGGTGCTCCATCACTGGAGCTTTTTAAGAAGAGACTGTGCAACCGCTTGTCTGAAACGGAAATGGTATCCTGCTTGAGCAGGAGGTTGGACTAGAAGACCTCCAAGGTCCCTTCCAACGATGATGATGATGATGATGATGGACTTTACAATGTCTGACTCTAAATAAATCAGATCTGTACAGCTTCAAGTATACCTGGCTGGGGCTTGAAGGAACATTCATTGAAAATGTACATATAAATAACCAGCTTTGGCAGCAAAATCAGCAGTTTGTCGGTGAGAAAAAAAGAGCCCGTCCATTCAGCACACCATCAGGAGGAAGGAGGGGGACGCAGGGATTTTTGCTACCGGTTCTCCGAACCACCCACCGCCATCGCTACCGGATTGGACGATCCGGTCCGAACCGGGAGCATTTCACCCCTGAGTTGAAGTCCTCCGAGTTTAAAGTTGCCAAGGTTGGAGACCCCTGCTTTGGAGAATAGCTTGACCCCCCCCCCCACTCCTGTTTGTGGCAGCTCCAAAGTCTGATCATTTGTGATAAGCGTTCACACAGCTTGCTGAGCGACAACACCAACTCAAATGGCTTCGCACAACCCACAATGCTGCAGTGGAATGTGTGATGACCTTTATAGACACACCAGGAGCAAAAAAAATAAAATAAAAAATTGATGCTTCATTCAGACAAGGTAGCGATGTTTTCAGCCTCACCCAGTAAACAGGAATGCAACCTACCGTGTTTCCCCGAAAATAAGACCCTGTCTTATATATTTTTTTTTTGAACCCTGAAATAAGCACTTGGCCTTATTGTCATGCGCTCAAAAGCCCGATTGGGCTTATTATCAGCGAAATATCTTATTTTGGGGGAAACAGGGTCGTTTAGGCAGGTTTGTTCCTTTTTTGAGTATTCCGATGTGCAGTTGGATGCCCCCAAACCCAAAGTCGGGATGTAGACCTCCACTTTCAACCGTAGTCCCGTAGACAATGACGGTCGTAAGTCGAATCGGATCAAGTGAAGGCAGTCGTGTTGGGGACGCAACTTGATTTTTGGAAGGGATTTCGTAGCGAGGTGAGATTTGCAACATTGGATGTCTTCCTTTTTCTTTCTTCAGGGGCAGGTCTTGCTGTGAGGATTAACGAAGATGGGCATAAAATCATCTATTTGCCTAAGGGGGAGTCGGTGAAATTGGGGTGCCCCTTTTCTTCAGACCCTGAAGATAACACCCCGGATAATGACTGGGACATTCAGTGGAAGCAGGTGAAACCTGGATCACATCCGCAGTACAACCCGGTAAGTCGGAGATTTTATCCTTTTTAAAAGTCCTTCCGTAATTGTGGTGTAGCAGTGTAGCGGTGTAGGCCTAAGCAGGGGGTTGGACTAGAAGACCTCCAAGGTCCCTTCCAACTCTGTTATCATTCTATTATTCTAATTGTAATCCATATCATTATTAATAGAATACAGGTAATCCTTCTCTTACCACCATTCGTTTAGTGCAGGGGTCTGCAACCTTAAATACTCAAAGAGCCATTTGGACCTCTTTCCCACAGAAAAGAAAACACCGGGAGCCACAAAAACCCTTCCCATGCCTGACTATTTCTTGAGCAGCCACAAAACTAGCATATGTAGTTGAATAAAACGTTCCGTTTTCTTCTGAAACTTTTCTTTTCTTGGGATTTATCCATGGTTGGCCTACCGGGGGTCAAAAAGCTCAATAAATTGCGTGCCGGCGGGTGTCGCAAATTGGCAGTTGCGATGCATATTTTGAGTGACAGGGAGCCGCAGCAGAGGGGTGAAAGAGCCACATGTGGCTCCAGAGCTGCAGGTTGCTGACTCCTGGGTTGAGGGGAGGATATCTGGTTTTTGTTCATTTTTCTTTTAAATTCTCCCTTTCTTTCCTCCGCATGACTGTCTGGTGGGCATTGCAACTTGCGAACTTTGCAAATCTCTGGATTGCACAGATTGTATTTGGCTCGCTACTTTCGCGAACCAATCAGTTGCTTTTTTTTTTTAATTAGATTTAATTAGAAGTGGTGTAGGACTCCTGCCCTACACCACTTCTGACAGATGGCAGTCCAGTCGATGGGGAAGCTAGATTCACTTCACAACCGTGTTACTCGCTTATCATAAACCTGGCAAAACTTATTTAACGACTGTCTTGCTTGGCGACGGAAATTTTGGAGTCGGCTGCGGTCGTAAGCCAAGGACTACCTGTATAATAATAATATGGACTCGTAACTAAGCCCTCCAGAGTTGTTGGATAGAGCAATAGACGGCACAATTTAATACATTAAATAAAATAAAATTATAGGCCACGGCAGGCTTCGTATCTCTTGCTCCCAAAAAAGGAGAAAAAAATGTCCCACTGGCTTTGAATTGTTCCTGCTAACGATTCGGAAATATGGTGATTCTCTGGTTTGGGTGAGATAAGCAAGAGATCGAGGCGAAGAGTCTACACACCCGTGTCCTCTTTTTAAAAAATAAATTAAAAAAAAGCGCAAAGATAGGGAAGATAGGAAAATGTAACATTTCCAGCCTCTTCTCCTTGGCATCTGGCAATCTGCAATTTCAATTAGATAATTATCATTTCGGGGTTTGCGATAAACAGGGGTGGACTACGAGCTGTCTCAATCCTGGGGAATTCGTCTGGAAACACCTTAGCTGCTAAAAGCTTAATCAGGCATTACCAGTTGCCTGGAATTTCTTTTTTGACTCATGAGGACTAGGGACTTGGTTCTTGAGCGCCTCGGCACCGAACGCATCCAGCACTCTGCCTTTCCTTTCGCCGTACACCAGAACGACTAGACACAAGGACAGTTTTTTTCCCCGCATGCCATCACTCTGCTAAACAACTAATTCCCACAACACTGTCAAGCTATTTACTAAGACTGTATTACTATTATTCTTCTCCTTTCTATTGCTTTTCCTCCCTCCCTCGTTTCCCCTTCCTTCCTTCCTTCCTTCCTTCCTTCCTTCCTTCCTTCCTTCTTATGGCTATAATTATGTTGCTTTTATCTTTACAGTTATATTGTTTTATTTAGTTTCCTAGTATGATTTTGATTGTTTATTTAGTATCCTATGACTATCGCTCAGTGTTGTATCTTATGATTCTTGATGAATGTATTTTTTATGTACACTGAGAGCGTATGCACCGAAGACAAATTCCTTGTGTGTCCAATCACACTTGGCCAATAAAGAATTCTATTCTATTCTATTCTATTCTATTCTATTCTATTCTATTCTATTCTATTCTATTCTATTCTATTCTATTCTATTCTATTCTATTCTATTCTATTCTATTCTATTCTAAAGTGTTGTATCTTTTTATTCTCAATCAATATATTTTATTCTCCTTATGTACACTGAGAGCATATACCACCAAAGACGAATTCCTTGTGCGTCCAATCACACTTGGCCAATAAAGAATTCTATTCTATTCTATTCTATTCTACTCTACTCTACTCTACTCTACTCTACTCTACTCTACTCTACTCTACTCTACTCTACTCTACTCTACTCTACTCCACTCCACTCCACTCCACTCCACTCCACTCCACTCCACTCCACTCTATTCTATTCTCTCCATTTTTCTTTCCTCCTTCCTTCCTTCCTTCCTTCCTTCCTTCCTTCTTTCCTTCCTTCCTTCCTTCTTCTCTGCCATCACTCTGCTAAACAACTAATTCCCACAACACTGTCAAGCTATTTACTACGACTGTATTACTATTATTCTTCTCATCCTTCCTATTACCTATCTCCTTTTCTACTTACGATTATAACCTTGTTGCTTGTATCTTTATGATTATATTGTATTTATTTAGTTTCCTAGTGTGCTTTTGATTGCTTATTTAGTATCCTACGACTATCGCTCAGTGTTGTGTCTTACGATCCTTGATGAATGTATTTTTTATGTACACCGAGAGCTTATGCACCGAAGACAAATTCCTTGTGTGTCCAATCACACGTGGCCAATGAAGAATTCTATTGTTCTATTTTCTCCTCTGGTTTTATCGCCAGCTCCTGGGTTATCACGACCACCGAATCATCTACCCGGGACCCCCTGATCTCCAGAAACGTGTGGGGTTCATCTCCTCCGACCCCAGCCTCTACGACGCCTCCATGCAACTCCGGGATCTGCAGATGAGCGATTCCGCCACGTACGAATGCACGGTGAAGAAGACCACCGAAGCAACACGCAAAGTTACCATCACCGTTCAAGGTAAGAAGAGAATAGAAGAATAGAATAGAAATAGAAGAAATAGAAGGAATAGGAATAGGAATAGGAATAGGAATAGGAATAGGAATAGAATAGAATAGAATAGAATAGAATAGAATAGAATAGAATAGAATAGAATAGAATAGAATAGAATAGAATAGAATAGAAATAGAAATAGAAATAGAAATAGAAATAGAAGGAATAGGAATAGAATAGAATAGAATAGAAATAGAAATAGAATAGAATAGAATAGAATAGAATTAGAAATCAGAATAGAATAGAATAGAATAGAATAGAATAGAAATAGAAATAGAAATAGAAATAGAATAGAATAGAATAGAATAGAATAGAATAGAATAGAATAGAATAGAATAGAATATGAAACGGAATGTGGCCTAGTCAGCCTCCTGCACCTCTTTGCCCTCCCCGGGCTCCGGAGGCTTTTCTTGAGCCTCCGGGAGGGCGAAAACGGCCTCCCCAGGTTCCGGAGGCCCTCTGGTGGCCAGAAACGGGCACTTTTCCAACCTTCCCGAACTTCCGGTAGGCTTGTTTTTCGCCCTCCCCGAGCCTCCATACACACCCTGCACTTACCTGCATCCAAAACGGGCCGCATGGGGACTCCTGGGAGGGGCGGGGTGGGGTGGGCGGAGACAGCCAGGAGTGGGATTTGGGGGTTCTCTGAACTGCACAGAATCTTTGCTAGAGGTTCTCTCGAACCCCTGTGAATCCCCAGCAGCTCACCCCTGGGCGGCAGCCATATTTATTAAGGGGTCCTAAAACCCCAAATTAGGGGGGGGAAATACTGATTTATTTTGCCTGCTTGACCTACCCAGAAAAACCAGCCCTTCCTCGCTGTTGGATCATTGGCGAGATCGCCTACGGGGAAGATATCACTCTTCGTTGCTTCACTTCCACGGGGACCCCGCCGCTCAGCTACCACTGGTCCATGGCCAGTGGCAATTACCACGATTGGATGCCCTCAGCCAGTGAGTATCAGCCTTCCTGCAGCTGCAGCTGCACCTTGATGGGGGACTTCATCTCCCAGAATCCCCCAGCCAGCATGCTTTAAGATGGGCGGACTTCAACTCCCAGAATTCCCCAGCCAGCATGTTTTAAGATGGGTGGGCTTCATCTCCCAGAATCCCCCAGCCAGCATGCTTTAAGATGGGTGGGCTTCATCTCCCAGAATCCCCCAGCCAGCATGCTTTAAGATGGGTGGGCTTCATCTCCCAGAATCCCCCAGCCATCTTGATTTAAAGATGGGTGGACTTCAACTCCCAGAATTCCCCAGCCAGCATGTTTTAAGATGGGTGGACTTCAACTCCCAGAATTCCCCAGCCAGCATGTTTTAAGATGGGTGGGCTTCATCTCCCAGAATCCCCCAGCCAGCATGCTTTAAGATGGGTGGACTTCAACTCCCAGAATTCCCCAGCCGGCATGCTTTAAGATGGGTGGGCTTCATCTCCCAGAATCCCCCAGCCAGCATGCTTTAAGATGGGTGGACTTCAACTCCCAGAATTCCCCAGCCGGCATGCTTTAAGATGGGTGGGCTTCATCTCCCAGAATTCCCCAGCCAGCATGCTTTAAGATGGGTGGGCTTCATCTCCCAGAATCCCCCAGCCAGCATGCTTTAAGATGGGTGGACTTCAACTCCCAGAATCCCCCAGCCAGCACAAACACTCTGCATGTGGATGGAAATCTATCTGTACATGCTCAGGAGCTGTGCTTTAATGCCAAGATATTTTTTTTTTTAAAAAACCAAACCAGATCCAACCTCTTGTGGTTCCCGCAACCTTGTAAAACTCTTGTGTCTCTCTCTCTCCTCCAGGTGTCATTCCAGGGGATCTCCAGATCCGCGATCTGTGCGATGACCACGTGGGGACCTACCAATGCAGTGTGGGCAACAACGTGGGCGTGGCTTATTGCTCGGTGGAAATTCAGTTCGGAGGAGGTAAGGCGAAGTCGGGATGCGGAAAACTGGCAAATTCAAAGCGGTTGGAGATTGGAGATTGGAGGCACAACCGGCTCAAAAGTTCCTCCATTTACAACCCTTCGTTTAGTGACCGTTGGAAGTTACGACGCGGCGGCCCGGAAAAAAATAAGCGACTTAGGACAGGGGTTTTCACACATACGACCGTTTTGCAGCCTCCCCCTTTGGCCGCGTGGTCAAAATTTGGAACGCTGGACAACTGACTCGTATTTATGACGATCGAAAGCGTGCCGGTGTTCAGCCTTTTTAACCTCCCGATGAGCCAAGTCGATAGGGAAAAAGCCAGATTGGCCTAAGGATCGCAGGATTCGTTTAACGACGGGTGCGGTTTGCTTAGGGGGAGGAGGAAAGGGCACTTAACAATTGCCTTTGCATGGAAATTCGGGGCTCTGTTGTGGTCGTAAGTCGAGGACTTTTAACTCCCAGAATTCCCCAGCCAGCTCTATAACTGAAGTCCCCCCAACATTTTGAAGCTGAATAATAAATTTATTTATTTATTTTATTTCTATACCGCCCTTCTCCCGAAGGACTCAGGGCGGTGTACAGCCTGATTAAAATCTGGCTTCTCATGAGTTTTCGACCACAATCGAGCCCATAAATATCTGTCGTTAAGTGAGACGGTGAAGGGAGGTTGTTTGCCCCATTTTACGACTTTTTTGGCCACGGACGTTAAGCAAATCACCCCTGCGGTTCAGGGTTGTGAAGTGAATCTGGCTTCCCTATGGACTTTTGCCGGTCGCAAACGGGGATCCCAGGACCCCCGAGCTGTCATAAATACGAGTTCACTTACCCGGGTTTTGAATTGGATGCCTGCAACGGTCGTTAAGCGTGAAAACCGGTCCTAAGTTCCCCCTTTTTTCAAGGCCGCTGCGGCTTCGAACGACACCCCCCTCCCCTAAGCGACCGGTCATTGGTGGCAAAGTCCCTGTAAGTTGGCCTACGTCGCAGGATGGTTGTGGCCGCCAAGGGGGCCAAATCCGGCGCTCCCGAAGCCCATGTTGCACTGCTTGCCCTTTTGCCGCAGGTTGGAGCAGAGGCTGGATCATCGCGGGCTCGATCATCATCGCCCTGTTGACCATGGCCATCATCATCGGGGGCGTCATTTGGTGCTGCTGGTGCTGTTGGGGCAAAGGCGGCGGAGGCTGCTGTGGGGGCCAGTGCCCCAGCTGCTACTGCGGGAAGGAGTATTGCTGGGACTGTTGCTGTAGCTACGGCTCCGAGACCCCCGAGAAGCATCAGCAGTACTCCCAGACCAAGGCCAGCGACATCTGGTGAGCCCCTCGACCCCCGGGGAAGGGGGGGAGGGGCACGGGGGGCACCCAAGAGCCCCCGGGGGCCGGCAGAGATCTCGTCTTCTAGTCTACACTGGACCGAAAGCTCTCTTCCAAGGGTCCAGATCCTTCCTTCTCTTTCTCTCCTTCCTTCCTTCTTTCTCTTTCTTTCCTTCCTTCCTTCCTTCTTTTCTTCCTTTTTTCTTTCCTTCTTTGTCCTTCCTTCTTTCTCTTCCTTCCTCTTCCTTCCTTCCTTCTTTCCTCCCTCCCTCGTTTCCTCTTTCCCTTCCTTCCTAATTCCTCCCTTCTCTTTCTCTCCTTCCTCTCCTTCCTTCTTTTTTCTCCTCCCTTCCTTCTTTTATTTCTTCCTTCTTTCCTCCCTCCCTCGTTTCCTCCTTCCCTTCCTTCCCAATTCCTTCTCTTTCTCTCCTTCCCCTCCTTCCTTCTTTTTCTCCTCCCTTCCTTATTTCCTTCCTTCTATCCCCCCTCGTTTCCTCTTCCTTCCCAATTCCTCCTTCCATCCTTCCTTCTTTTTCCTTCCTTCGTCCCTTCGTCCCTCATTTCCTCCTTCCTTCCCAATTCCTTCCTTCATCCCTCCCTCCCTTCCTCTTCCCTCTTTTCTTCCTTCCTCTCTCTCTCCGCCCCCCCCCCTCCATTTTTTTCTCCTCTCCATCAACTCAATTCCCTTTGGGAAGCCTTTCGGAGCTCACTTTCTGGGTGCCTTGCCGATGGGAGTTGTAGTCCTCTTTTTTGGGGGGGGCAGGCTGAAAACGACTTAAGAGTCACCCCCAGTGTGAGCTGCAGCCTCACACCGGTCTTAACCAAGCACAAAACCTCCACGCAGAGAGACATCCTGCTCTGGCTTAACAAAGGAACTCATTCAGATCCCAAGCCAAGATGGGAAATCTTTTTTAAGGACCCACTTCGATCGAGTCGAGCATATTTCCACAACGTGTCCAGCTTGGACAAAACATTCCTTTTTTCCTCCGCTTTTTAACACCAGCCGAGCGCCCGGCTCCCAACTTTTCTGTTAGGGGGAGAACTTCCAAAGCCATAAAGGAATGGAGAAATATTACAGTCCCGGGGAGAAATTAACAACAGGAATGAATAATATTAATTATCCGGAGAGACTTTTGTTTAAAAATAAATAAAAAATAAGGAAAAACATCCCTGGTGATTGGCGTGAAAGGAATGAGGGATGCACGCGTGCAAATAGTCTAACTAGGAGAGGATAGAATAAACAGGTGAATAATAAAAGCCATTAACTTGATGTGGCCTGCAGACACGGAAGAGAGCAAAACGTATAGTCTTAAATCACGATTCGTGTTTCACGGTTTCCTCCAAACTCTTGCAGGCTCCAGAAAGGGAACCATTAGCGAAATTAAATTTCCGTCTCCCGAGAAGCTATAATGGCTACTTGGCAAGATAATTATTTTTTTTTCCCCGCAGTGATGGATGTGATCACTGCACAAATGCGTAGGTTGACCTGGGGAACGACCTTTCCCCTGCCTTTAAAGTTGTGTCACTTCCAGCACCAGAAGGCAACGAAGGAGGTTGCTTCGGAGCAAAGGTGAGGATTAAGGAGGAGCTGTGGAACTCACTGCCTCATGAGGCGGTGAAAAAAGCCTGGGAGACCGGCTAGGTGGAATCAAAATTCGATCCAAATAGGGTGCTTTTTATATTCTAAACGACTCACGCTGACTTCGTTAGTTCAGTTTATATCCTGAACTTCTTTTCTAAGAACAAATAGAATAGAATAACAGAGTTGGAAGGGACCTTGGAGGTCTTCTAGTCCAACCCCCTGCTTAGGCAGGAAACCTGGAAATAAACTGGTTCCAGCACCACTTTTCTCCTGCCATGAGTTAGGAGAGAAAAGGGGAGGGCAGGGGATGGGGGGGAAGAAAGAAAGAAAGAAAGAAAGAAAGAAAGAAAGAAAGAAAGAAAGAAAGAAAGAAAGAAAGAAAGAAAGAAAGAAAGAAAGAAAGAAAGAAAGAAAACTGAGGGAGGGAGGGACGGAAGGAAGGAAGGAAGGAAGGAAGGAAGGAAGGAAGGAAGGAAGGAAGGAAGGAAGGAAGGAAGGAAGGAATCTGTGTCTCCCTGATCCTAATTCAGTCCATAACTATTATAGAAAGCTTTGCACCCTGTTGCAAAAAGAGGAAATGGTAGAGATTTGTTGATTTCGTTGCTAGTTCCGAAAATTATTTCCGTCTTCTCCATCCCAGACAGGTGGGGCACGAAGCCAGTTCTGGCACCTGCAAAATAGCTAGCAGCCAGCAAATGCTGAGCTAGCATTTCCCCCCACCCCATCAGCCCCACCCCAAAACCCCAGACGTTTTGGGGAAGTAACCCTGAGGGGGTCCCAGAAATAACCTCCAAGAGAAAAGTCGGTGGGTATAGAGAGACCAAATAGCAGTTAGAGGATGGGGTGGGAGAGAGACAGGGAGACCCAGGTATGTAATGGAGCACCCTGAAAAGAGGCAGGAACCCCCTGGTTGGAACTGGAGGATATTCTAGATTTATACCCTGTTTCCCCGAAAATAAGACATCCCCTGATAATAAGCCCAATCAGGCTTTTGAGTGCCTGCGCTAAAATAAACCTCCCCCCTCCCTGAAAATAAGCCCTTCCCAAAGATATTTAAACGCAGAACTGGAAATCAGGTAAGACAGCAAGAGGAGCCCCGTCTCGCTCCGCGCTCCCCCAAATAATAACACCTCCCCGAAAATAAGGCCAAGCGCTTATTTCGGGGTTCAAAAAAATATAAGTCAGGGTTTTATTTTCGGGGAAACGCGGTAATGTTTTGTGGCAGTTCCCACATGCTCTTGGCACGCTCCTGCTCCTGTTGCAGCTCCTCTCTCCTTCTCGACTGAAAATTATCCCCTTTTTCTGTAGCTTTGCTCTCCCTCGACTCACCATGTTGCTTTCGCTTCTTGGAATAATCACAGTGCTTTCTCTTTCTGGATTGATCGTGATTGTTTTTCTCCCTGGATTGACTATGGTCCTTTCTCTCCCTGCTGGATTGACTATGGTCCTTTTTCTCCCTGCTGGATTGACTATGGTCCTTTCTCTCCCTGCTGGATTGACTATGGTCCTTTCTCTCCCTGCTGGATTGACTATGGTCCTTTCTCTCCCTGGAGTAACCATGGTTCTTTCCCTGCCTGGACTGACCATATTCCTTTCCTTCCCTGCTGGATTGACTATGGTCCTTTCTCTCCCTGCTGGATTGACTATGGTCCTTTCTCTCCCTGCTGGATTGACTATGGTCCTTTCCTTCCCTGCTGGATTGACTATGGTCCTTTTTCTCCCTGCTGGATTGACTATGGTCCTTTTTCTCCCTGCTGGATTGACCATGGTCCTTTCTCTCCCTGCTGGATTGACTATGGTCCTTTCCTTCCCTGCTGGATTGACTATGGTCCTTTTTCTCCCTGCTGGATTGACTATGGTCCTTTTTCTCCCTGCTGGATTGACTATGGTCCTTTTTCTCCCTGCTGGATTGACTATGGTCCTTTTTCTCCCTGCTGGATTGACCATGGTCCTTTCTCTCCCTTCTGGATTGACTATGGTCCTTTCTCTCCCTGGAGTAACCATGGTTCTTTCCCTGCCTGGACTGACCATATTCCTTTCCTTCCCTGCTGGATTGACCATGTTCCTTTCTCTCCCTGGAGTAACGGTGGGCCTTCCACCTCCTGGATTGTCCAGGGTCTTTTCCCTCCCTCCCTCGACTGACCGATCATCCCTTTCTCTGCCCGTTTCTCTCCCTGCACTGACCACGCTCCTTCCCGCTCCAGTGTGGATGCTGAAGCCCCTCACAGCCGACCCTGCAGCCAGGCCATCAGTCGCGCTAGCAGCCTTCACTCCTTGCTGGGCTATCAAACGAAGGGCATCCCGTACTCTCAAGGCCGCAAGTACACCCCTCCCATCGTCCAAGTCAAGATGAGCTCACCTCCGGACAGTGACGTCAGCGTGGTCCTGCCTCTCGAAATCCCTTCGCCCCCCGATTCGGAACAAGGGGAGATCTCCGAGCCTTACTACCCCCCCAAAGGGAGCACCATGTACCCCGACCCCGACCCCTGCTGCGAACCCATCAAAGTCGATAACGTCAAAGGCTCCCGATCCCAAATCTACTGCGATCCGCACAATTACACCTCGGCTTGCTCGGATCCCACCGGGCTTCGTTGGAAAGATGGAAACAGCCGTCAGTATAAGAGTGCGGTGGTTATGATGCGCTCTTCCAGCCGGGATGGTCTTTTGATATGAAACGGGAGACGGGGGTGGTCGTAGGATGGATTAGGGATGGGAGAGAGAGAGAGAGAGAGAGAAAAGGGGGAACGGGAGCAAGGAGGACCATCTGTTCTTCTCCATCCAGACCTCTCCATCCCACGAAGCAGGAGGCAGGCCAAACTCTTCGCTCTTTAAGGGTGGGGATTTTTTTTCCATGCCCAAAAAGGCGGTAGATTTGGCCTGCCGAAACCAGAATCCTTAAAACGTCGTCCTAATTTTCCCATTTATTTCCCGACTCCGATGCTCCCGAAGGAATGTGCCAGCCTGCTAAAGAAGAAAACAAAAAACAAACAAAACCCCAGATCCTTCTGGGCAGTCTTGGCAACATTAGAATAGAATCACAGAATTGGAAGGGACCTCAGAAGGTCTTCTAGTCCAACCCCACTCTGTTCAAGCAAGAGACCTGCCTGTACCATTCCAGATGAACAATCATCCAATCTCTTCTTAGAAACACTCCCTGGATGGGAGCATCCCACCACTTCTGAAGGGAAGCCGTTCCACTGATCGGTTGCGTTCTTCTTCCAGATCGTTTTGATCCGGTGTGATCTGGGGGGGAATCCAACAAGTTTGCAACCCTTTAAACATGCACAGAAGACTGAGGTCGGGGACGGGGGAAGGAAAAATCAGGAGTGATGTTTAAAGCTCTTGCAATCAATTGAGGATTGGTTGCAAGAGCTGGATCTTGCGTGAAAATACAACCATACAATTTTTATCCGTGTTTACTCCACAGTAAGCCTGCATGAAATATTTACTTAATCCGAGCAAAGGCTGCCCCGATTTGAAGAGTCCATTCACATTGGATTCCTGCCTGCTTGGCACACACCCCTAAGGAGAGAATGTTTTTTCCTTGCAAAAGCTAGGGGGAAAAAATTGAATTAATTTGCTTTTTTTAACCAAAAGGCCTGGAGCTCAACCTGTGTTTTTCTCGTAAAAGAGCCAAATTCTGAGCGAGGAAAACCCTCCTTGCCTCAAGGCAACCCACAAGCATACAGAGAAGATCTGAGCACGAGAAAAATAGGTTAAACGCACCGATCGTTCGACAGCAAGATTTGGCTGGCTCTCTTTAGCAACATTTTTTTTTTTTAAGAAAAAAGAAAAAGACTTTTTGTAAAAAACACCAAAAAAACAACAACAGTAGCAGGCATGGAAAACAGCAGTATTGATTCCCCTGCAAATCCAACACGGCAGTTTGAAGAATTTCATGCTAAAGATGTTTTATATATTGCTATGCAAAGCAGGCTTATCCAATCAGCTCCACTCAAAAGCTTGGCTTTCAAACTTTTTCAAATCTGTTCATTTTTTTAAAAAAGGGAAAATCATCAAGTTTAAAAAAACAAAACAACTTTAGAAAGTACTGCTACTTTATTTTTTTTCCTTTTAAAAAGCTTCTCGTGAAATTACACTGTTTGAAAAACCCCTGAATTAGATTATTTTAAATTTATACCTGCCTGCGTGTTTGTTTTTTCCCATTTTTCCACAATTTCAGGATTCAGTTTTTTTGGAATCAGCGAGTGATGATCCACCATCACCCCTTGCAAAACCAGAGTCAGGAGCTCAATTATGGCCCCAGAGCAAAATTCATTTGTCTATATATACTCATTATTTGAGTAGCTGCCTCTGGAAACGGGGAAAAATTGCCTCCCGGCCTCCTAATCTTGTCAAAAATTCATTTGATGGATAGAAAGATCCAACGATGCTTTTTACACCACATTATTTCTTCCTATTCTGAAAAGCGTGGGGCAGTCCAAAATAAACGCTAGTTGGTTGCAAAAATCCGTCTAATTTATCTGGAAATTCTTGGATTTTTGCACTAGCGATGGAGAAGGAAAAGAATTAGCGACCCATATCATTTATATATTCAGAACCAATGGACCAAATCTGCTGGAATCTCCGCCAGCTGTAATTTTGTGAAAGAGATTTGTCGTAAAGAAATTCCAAAGGTAAAAAAGAATGGGCAAATTTCCCTAGACCCGTACAAAAAAGGGATTGCTTTTAGCCCATCATTTTACATGCGTAACATTAATTTTTTTTATTATTATTATTTCTTTTTCTTTCTTTCTTTCTTTCTTTCTGTTTTATAAGATACTGTACAGGGATGGCAAAAATCTCTTTAACCAGACAGAACACGCAATTCCTCCACTTGTGCGATCTCATGTCTGTTTTTTTTAAAAAAAAAATAATAATACTTTGTTATCTGGACTGGCAAATCGGGATTTTAATAACTTCGCATCGGTCTGCTTTCTGTCTGAGTTTGTGTATGGTTTAAAAAAAAACAATTGTGCAGTCTCTAAAATACTCTTAAAATGTAGTTGTTTTTGTTTGTAGACTTTTACGAGTAAGAGGGCCTTTTTCCTAAAATACGGTGCGATCCTGCAGGGTGGCATTCTGTCAATAAATCATCTGCTTTCACTGATCCATCGTTTTCCTGTCTTTCTTGCATTTTGATTATTTGTTTTAAGTTCCCTCTAAAAAAAACTTAGATAAATGACTTAGATGAAGAAATAAAAGGGGAACTTTACCAAATTTGCAGTTGATACTAAGCTGGCTGTCAGACTTCGATGCTATCTCAAAATTAAATGAATTTCCAAACTGCCAATCTTTAAGGAAATCTTTTCTTTAATTGAGCACAGCCACCGGATCATGACTCGATGCGGACAAGACTGACCTTTTGCCCCCCAATCCCACCCTTTCCGATCCCCAAATCTCTGCTTCTCATTGGCTATCTTCCAAGTCATTCTTCAGGCTTCTTATCTCGTCATTTCCACAACAACCCGACTTCAAAGGGATTTAGCAGGCAAAAGTTCAGAGTTTATCTCTCTTTCTCCTCTGCTCTCTATGCCAGCGTTGAAGCGCTGACACTAGCAGGAATAGCTAACACCCTAGAAGATATGCTCAAGATCCAGTTGGATCTGAACCAGTGGTGGGTTTCAAAATTTGTTACTATCGGTTCTGTGGGTGTGGCTTGGTGGGCGTGGCATGGCTTGGTGGGCGTGGCAGGGGAAGGATACTGTAAAATCTTCATTCCCACCCCACGCTAGGGGAAGGTTACTGCAAAATCTCCATTTCCTCCCGATCAGCTGGGACTTGGGAGGCAGAGAATAGATGGGGATGAGGCCAGTCAGAATTTTTACTACCGGTTCTCCGAACTACTCAAAATTTCCACCACCAGTTCTCCAGAACTGGTCAGAACCTGCTGAAACCCATTTCTGATCTTGACAGACTTGAACATTGGGCCCTATCTAACAAAATATTCAATGTAGAGAAAAGGAAAGTCCTACACTTAGGTAAGAAAAACCAAAAGTACACATATAAACTGGGTGAAACCAGGCTTAATAGCAGGGACTGTGAGAGGGATCTTGGAGTCTTAGAGGACAACCAGCTAAATAGGAGCCGGCAGTGTGCAGTGGCAGCCAATGCAAATCCTAAATTGCATTAAGAGAGGGATACAATCAAGATCAAGAGAGGTACTAATACCACTCTATAAAGCCTTAGTAAGGCCACACCTAGAGTACTGCATCCAGTTTTGGTCACCAGAGTATAAAAAAGTTGTTGAGACTCTAGAAAAAGTGCAGAGAAGAGCAACCAGGAGGATTAGGGGACTGGAAGCTAAAATATACAATGAACAGTTGCAGGAACTGGGCCTGGCTAGTCTAATGAAGAGAAGGACCAGGGGAGACAGGATAGCATCTTCCAATATCTGTGGGGCGGCCACAAGTGGGGGAAGAGAAGGGGAAGTAGGAAAGAGAAGGAGAGGAAGAACGAAGGAAGTAGGAGAAGAGAGAGGAAGGAAGAGAAGGGGAGGAAAAGAAGAAAGGGAAAAGGAGAGGAAGAAAAGGGAGGGGAAAGAGGCATAGAGGAGAAGGTTAGAAGGGGGAAAGAAGAGAGGAGTGGGGGAAGAGAAGGGGAAGTAGGAAAGAGAAGGAAAGGAAGAACGAAGGAAGTAGGAGAAGAGAGAGGAAGGAAGAGAAGGGGAGGAGAAGAAGAAAGGTTGGAATAAAGGTAAAGGGGTAAAAGAGCAACCCCGAAAAATGAAAAATGAAAGTTAAAAGAAAAGATGAATGAAAAATGATGGAAATGACTGTACATGTAAATATGTTTATGAGAAATAAAAATAAAAAATTTAAAAATAGTGATAATAATAATAATAATAATAAATAAAAAACAACTGTCTCGCTTCAGCCACAGAAACTTTGGGCTCCATGAAGTTCGTAAATTGAGGAGTACCTGTATTTTAATCTCGATCAAATAAGCCAACGTTGTATTCCTTCCCTTTGCTGGAGTTTGCGTAGTTCTTATCTAGGTCTTTGGCACAAACGGCTGATGTTGTGTTGCAAGTTGTCATCCAAAGAATTAGGTCAATCGGTTTAGATAAGCATCTGCTTTTGGCTTACTTCCTAGCGTCTGAAGGAGGTGTGTGGGAATAGCTCCTGTTGTTTGCGGGTTGTGGGTAAAAACACACCGAAACTGATGTGGTTAGTAGTCATAGCAATCTTTTCTACCTTATCTAACGATCTGCTGAAGTTGGTAGTTTCTCTTTCTGGTTTTCGATCACTGCGGCCAACAACTTTTCCCAGTGTGAATCTTGTGAAGCATTTTTCCACCCGATACAGGTTTTATCCTCCATTTACAACCATTCATTCAGTGTCCGTCCAAAGTTACAACAGTACAGATCGTCCTGGACGTATGACCACAACTGAGCCCAGCATTTCCCTTGATAAGGGAGACATTTGTTGAGTAAATTTTACGACCTTTTCTTGCTTCGGTTGTTAAGTGAATCTCAGCTGTTCACTTAGTCACCCGGTCGTTAAGAGAATCCGGCTTTCCCCCCCCCCCCATTGACTTCGCTTGTCAGAAGGTCGCAAAAGGGGATCACGTGACACACACCCCGCCCGGATGCTGCGACCGTCATAAATAGGAACCACTTGAATTTTGATCACACGATCAAAGTCTGAAGTCTGAATTTTTATCACACGATCGCGAGGATGCGGCCAATGTCGTAAGTGCGAAAAACGGCCCTAAGTCACTTTTTTCAGAGCCGTTCTAACTTCGATTTACAACAGTTTGTTTACTGACCGTCTGTAGTTACAACAACACAGAAAACAGTGATTTATCACATGATCATTGTGGCCTCCTTCAGGGTCATATGATCAAAATTCAGATGGTTCGTATTTACGACGATCGCAGTGTCCCCGGGTTACATGATCCCGTTTTGTGACCCTTCCGTCAAGCCAACTCAACGGGGAAGCCAGATTCACTTAACAACCGTGTGGCTCACTTAACGGCTGCAGGGATTTCACTCCCGGCAAGAAAAGTCATCCCATGAGGCGAAACTCACCTGACAATTGTCTTGTTTAGCAACGAGACGTTTTGGGCTCAATTCTGGTCGCAAGTCGAGGATTATCCGTATTTGATTGTGGGGTTGGATTAACAGAATCTCGCGGGTGGGAAAGTCCATCTCTTCCCCATCGTTTTGACCGCCCAAGAAATTAACCATTAAGATGGTTTCTTCAAAGTAAAAAAAACAACAACATGTGCATTTGCATGATCTCTCAAAAAGGTAAAGTTAAAGGTTCCCCTCGCACTTGCGTGCTAGTCGTTCCTGACTCTAGGGGGGCGGTGCTCCTCTCCGTTTCAAAGCCGAAGAGCCAGCGCTGTCCGAAGACGTCTCCGTGGTCATGTGGCCGGCATGACTCAACGCCAAAGGCGCACGGAAAACGCTGTTCCCTTCCCACCAAAGGTGGTCCCTATTTTTCTACTTGCATTTTTTACGTGCTTTCGAACTGCTAGGTTGGCAGAAGCTGAGACAAGTCACGGGAGCTCACCCCGTTACGCGGCACCAGGGATTCGAACCGCTGAACTGCCAACCCTTTCGATTGACAAGCTCAGCTTCTTAGCCACTGAGCCATGGCGTCCCTTAAACGTGGTCGGAACTGAACATGGAAGGGTTTGTTCATTTGTTTGGTGACAAAACGAGCAAATCTCTCAAGACGGCTTGCAATTCCGGTTTATGTGAGTCAGAAAATGGGTCAGTTCTGTTTTGAAAATTCAGCCGGTTGTCACGTTAAATTTTGGGAGGTTCTCTGGCAGGCCAGCTCATTCGTTGAGCATTTCCTGAAGGAAATAAAATCCAGACTATCACGGTGTATAAATAGTCCTCGATTTACAACAGCAGCCATTCAAAGTTACAACGGCGCCCCCAAAAATGTGACTTCCTAAAGGACCGTGTTTCACACTTATGACCACGGCGGATCCCTGCGTTCACGTGATCAGAATTCAGACATTTAGCAGCTGACTCGTTATTAATGACGGTTCTAGTGTCCCCGGGTCATAAGTCACTTTTTTTCAGTACAGGTGGTCCTCGACTTATAACAATTCGTTTAGTGTCCGTTCCAAGTTACAATGGCACTGAAAAAAGGACAGTTTTTCACAGTTACGACATTGGCAGCATCCTCCGGATCAGGTGATCAAAATTCAGCCGCTTGGCTACTGACTCATATTTACGACGGTGGCATTGTCCCGGGGTCACAACCTTCAGACAAGTAATGGGGAAGCCAGATTCGCTTAACAACGGGGTCACTAACTTAAGAACTGCAGTGATCCACTTAACAACCGTGGCGAGAATAGTCGTAGCATGGGGCAAATTTCAGCTAATTACCGTCTCGCTTAGCAACAGAAATTTTGGGCTCAATTGCTGTCGTAAGTCAAGGACCGCTTACACACAATCAAGCCAGGAAGAAACTTTACACTCTGCTGCCCTTCGGCGGATGTTTCATTGGCCATTTGTAAAAACAGAACCTGAGTCATTTTGGTAAGAATAACTTGTTTATTAAGAGAATTTCTACGCCTTTTTTTCCTTCCGGCGGCAAAGCGTTAACGAATGACTTATTTTGCGTTCAAGAAGATGAAAACTCATCCTACCGTCAGCCCGTCAATCACAGGCTGGAGCGTGCCATGTATAATTAAATAAATAATCTCGCAGCGAGACCGAAGGCGGAGTTAAAAGTGTCCACATTTTGAAAACAAAAACCAACCCCCCCCCAAAAAAATCAACCACCTAACTTTTCTCAAATTCAAGAACTCAAAATTCTCAAAATTCAGGAGAACCAAATCATCATCCTCGTCGTCATCTCATAATTATAAATCCGTGGGAAGAACTTGATAGGCAGACAAAAAAAATATATCAAAATCTGGTCTCTGAACCTCTGGCTGACGGGTGGATTTGGTTTGCATTCAGGGTTGGGTTCTGTGGGTGTGGCTTGGTGGGCGTGGCATGGCTTGGTGGGCGTGGCAGGGGAAGGATACTGTAAAATCTCCATTCCCACCCCAATCCGGGGGAAGGATACTGCAAAATCCCCATTTCCTCCCAATCAACTGGGACTTGGGAGGCAGAGAATAGATGGGGGCGGGGCCAGTCAGAATTTTTACTACCGGTTCTCCGAACTACTCAAAATTTCCGCTACTGGTCAGAACCTGCTGAAACCCACCTCTGGCGCAAACCCTTCTACTCCTGGTTAAAACCAGGAAGTTACAACGACCGGGCGGGTGGGCGGAGCCTCGAGCCACCATCGCTACCAGTTCTCTGAACCACCAGCTGTCATCGTTACCGGCTCAGCCGAACCGGGCTGAACCGGGCCGAACCGGGAGCATTTCACCGCTGATTTGCATTCTCCTTTAAAAGGTGGCAGGGCCAGTTGAAATAAAAGGGAATAAAGGGGGAAAAAACCAAAAAAACATAAATGTTCCTACCATGCCTGGGGAAAAAAAAATAAAACGTATAATAAATTGCAAGAATTGTGTCCCGTCTTTTGCGAATTTGATGTTTGGATACGGCTCCATTCAGCTTTTGCTGATATATATATATATATTTCACCGTGTATGTAGGCTTTGTCTGTGTGGAATTGTAGACTCCAGGCAGCGGGTTGGAAAACAGCGAATTATTGCATTTTTTTCAAAATAATAATAATAATAATCGGCTGCAAGATTAGATCCTATTCCCTGGCATTTTGGAACTGTGACCCCACTGTTTGCAAATGTTCAGGGGGGAAAAAATCAACAGCAGGAGGCTTAAATAACGAGTCCTTCGCGGGTTTTCGCTTGCATCATTACGGGAACCCCCCCAAATTGTCCCGGGTGGCTCCGTTTTCCGTGGGCTGCATCCCGCTCGCAAGTGGGAGAATCTGAATTCGGACTCTCGTGGCACGGAGGGTTAGAAGAAGCCGAGGCAGAAGATTTTCCATGACTGTAGGAAGGCCCGCTGAGGTCGTAGTGAACGCGGGCCTTGGTGGTGACCACGGAAGGATGTCCGCTGGTGGGGGGCGAGGTACAGGAATTCAAACTCAGCTCTGGGTCTTGATTCGCGGAGACCATCTCGACCCCTTCTTGGTCCCGGGGGGATTCGTATTTCCGACGTTGCATGAAGTTGATGTTATGGGGGATGTACCCCAAGACGGATCGTAAGCTGCTGTTACGACTATCCGGTCTGGGCCTGGGGGCAGCGGTGTCTACTCTGGAAGAGGAAACAAAAATCTTACTCTCTGTAAGATGGTGTAGGGTTTCCTGCCTAAGAAGGGGGTTGGACTAGAAGACCTCCAAGGTCCCTTCCAACTCTTCTCTTCTATTCTCTTCTATTCTCTTCTATTCTCTTCTATTCTCTTCTATTCTATTCTATTCTATTCTATTCTATTCTATCCTTGGAATATAAATTTTAAAAAAAAAGCAAAAAAAAAAAGCAAAGAGCAGCCTTAAAAGACGTTTTTGGGCACTCTTAGAACCCTGGAGTTGGACGCCATCAGGAATCCTTGAGGCCATCCAGTCTGACTTCTGCTCGGTGCAAGAATTTAAATTAATGCGTCCTGCAGAGGCAGGAAGGAAGGAAATTTATGTGTGAAAGAAAAGAGAGAAGGAAGGCAAGAAGGAAAGAAGAGGGAAATTTCTGTGTGAAAGAGAAGAAGGGAAAGAAGGAAAGGAGAAGACAAGAAGGAAAAAAGGAAGGAATTTTGGGAAGGGAAAGGAGAGGGGAGAGAGGGAGGGTGGGAGGAAAGAAAGAAGGAAGGAAGGAAATTTGTGTCTCTTTCACACATAAACATAACATAAGGCAAGAAGGAAGGAACGACGAGGAAAGTTTAAGTGTGAAAGAGAAGAATGGAAAGAAGGAAAGGAGAAACAAGAAGGAAAGAAGGAAGGGATTTTGCGAGGGAAGGGAAAGGAAAGAAGAAAGAGGGAGGGAGGAAAGAAGGAAGGAAATTTGTGTGTGAAAGAAAAGAGAAGGAAGGCAAGAAGGAAGGAAGAGGAACATTTCTGTGTGAAAGAAAAGGAGGGGGAAAAGGAAAGGAGAAGGAGAGAAGGAAAGAAGGAAGGAATTTTTGTGACGGGAAGGGAAAGGAAAGGAGAAAGAGAGGGAGGGAGGAAAGGAAGGAAGGAAGGAAGGAAGGAAGGAAGGAAGGAAGGAAGGAAGGAAGGAAGGAAGGAAGAAAGAAGGTTAGGAAAGTTTGTGGGGGCAATAAGCTGACTTTGTATAAATATACAAAAGGATGAAGGCTATTGCTTAACGCATTGTAAGCTGCCCTGAGACTCCGGAGAAGGGTGGCATATAAATCAAATAAAAAGAAAGAAAGAGAGAGAGAGAAAGAAAGAAAGAAAGAAAGAAAGAAAGAAAGAAAGAAAGAAAGAAAGAAAGAAAGACAGGAAGGAGGAAGGAAGGAAGGAAGGAAGGAAGGAAGGAAGGAAGGAAGAAAGAAAGAAAGAAAGAAAGAAAGAAAGAAAGAAAGAAAGAAAGAAAGAAAGAAAGAAAGAAAGAAAGATAGTTCTGAACCCTTGGAAGAGAAGTCACAACCCAGTAGAGACCAGAAGTTCGAGACCCCAGCAGCATTCATTCATTTTATAAAAATAAATCAAAAGATTCTCAAGAGGAGATGCTACAAATCGCCCCAACTTTCTGGATGGACTAATGGCACCACGATGACCGCTTCATTCCTTTAATCTTCCAGGGCTCTGAGAAGGAACCTTGAGATGCTCAAAACTGGTCCCGGGACAAATTCAGGACAACGGACACAGCTGAGATCTCCCCCAAACCCCTCCCCCCCCCCCCCCCCCCCCCCCCCCCCCCCCTCTCACCTGATCTGGTTGGATTCCTTCTTGCTACCCTCCTTCCTCTTCTTCTTCTTGCAACAGCGGACAAGACAGACGATGAGGCAGATGAGGAGCACCAGGAAAAGGAGCGAGCCCAGCACGGCTCCCACGATGATGGTCAGAAGGGGGGAATCTGGAGGAGGAGGAAGAAGGAGGATGCTGAGGACACCATTGGCTGGAACGGTGGGGGGGGGGCTTGGATCTTGTGCCAAGGATCTTCTTGATGCTGGCTTGATAGTGAGAGATGCTGGCTTCGTTTCCTAATTTAGCTGTGAGCTGGGTGTCTTTCGCGAGAATGTGATCGTGTTTTCCTCGTGTCTTCCTTCTCTCTCTCCCTTTTCACGTCTCTCCCTCTCTCCTTCCCTCCTTCCTTCCTTCTTTCCTTCCTTTTCTCTTTCCCTTCTCTTTTCCTTTCCTTCCTTTCTTCCATTTCGCTTTTCCTTCCTTCTCTCTTTTCTTTTCTTCTTCCTTCCTCTCTCCTTCCCTCCTTCCTTCCTTCTTTCCTTCCTTTTCTCTTTTCCTTCTCTTTCCCTTTCCTTCCTTTCTTCCATTTCGCTTTTCCTTCCTTCTCTCTTTTCTTTTCTTCTTCCTTCCTTCCTTTCTTTCCTTCCTTCCCCTTCCTCCCTCCCCTCCCTCCTCCCCCCTCCACTTCCTTCCTTCCTTCCTTCTTTCCTTCCTTTTCTCTTTTCCTTCTTTTCCTTTCCTTCCTTCCTTCCATTTCAGTTTTCCTTCCCTCTCTTTTCTTCTTCCTTCCTTCCTTTCTTTTCTTCCTTCCCCTTCCTTCCTCCCTCCCCTCCCTCCTCCCTCTTCACCTCTCTCCTTCCTTCCTTTTCTCTTTACCTTCTTTTTCCTTTCCTTCCATTTCTCTTTTCCTCCCTTCTCTCTTTTCTTTCCTTCTTTCCTTCCTTCCTTCCTCGCTCAAGCCTGGGGCTTGAGAAATAGATAGCAAATGGCTTTTCACTTACCATGCGAGACCTCCAATGTGCACCGAGCTGACCCAACTTTGTTGGAGACGACACACTGGTAAACGCCAAGGTGGTTAGGTGATACTTTGTGAATGACAAGATCCCCAGGACTGGAACCTTCGGAGGAGAGAAAGGCCAAGAAAGGTGTAAGAGTATATCTGTCTGTCTGTCTGTCTGTCTGTCTGTCTGTCTGTCTGTCTGTCTGTCTGTCTCCGTCTATTCCTCTACCCATCCATCTTTCCATCTATGAAAGGAGGGGATATCTGTTTCTTTCTTTTATCTCTCTATCCATCTATTCATCCATCCATCCATCTACTATCTATCTATCTATCTATCTATCTATCTATCTATCTATCTATCTATCTATTTATCTATCTATCTATCTACCCATCTACTATCTATCTATCATCTATCTATCTATCTATCTATCTATCTATCTATCTATCTATCTATCTATCATCTATCTATCTATCATCTATCTACCAGTATCCATCCATCCATCCATCCATCCATCCATCTACTATCTATCTATCTATCTATCTATCTATCTATCTATCTATCTATCAGTATCATCTACCCATCATCTATCTATTTATCTATCTATTTATCATTTACCTATCTATCTATCTATCTATCTATCTATCTATCTATCTCTATCATCTACCCATCATCTATCTATCTATCATCTATCTATCTATCTATCTATCTATCTATCATCTATCTATCTATCTATCTATCTGTCTATCTATCTATCTATCTATCATCTATCTACCAGTATCATCTACCCATCATCTATCTGTCTATCATCTATCTATCTATCTATCTATCTATCTATCATCTATCCATCATCTATCTATCTGTCTATCATCTATCTATCTATCATCTACCCATCATCTATCTGTCTATATCATCTATCTATCAGCTGTCTGTCTGTCTGTCTATCTATCTATCTATCTATCTATCTATCTATCTATCTATCTATCTATCTACCCATCATCAATCTATCTATCATCTATCTATCTATCATTTACCCATCATCTATCCATCTATCTATCTATCTATCTATCTATCTATCTATCTATCTATCTACCCATCTACTATCTATCTATCATCTATCTACCAGTATCCATCCATCATCCATCCATCCATCCATCCATCCATCTACTATCTATCTATCTATCTATCTATCTATCTATCTATCTATCATCTATCTATCTATCATCTATCTATCTATCATCTATCTACCAGTATCATCTACCCAGCATCTATCTATCTGTCTATCATCTATCTATCTATCTATCTATCTATCTATCTATCTATCTATCTATCATCTACCCATCATCTATCTGTCTATCATCTATCTAGCTACCATCTAGCTATCATCTGTCTGTCTATCTATCTTATATCTATATCATCATCCACTTATTCATCCACATATCAGTCCATCCATTCATCCATCAACAATTTGTCCATCCATCCATCCATCCACTCATTCCTCTCTCCATCCATCTACCCCAGAGGTTTCCTTTATATTTTGTCCCTCCTTTTCTAAATGTTATTGATTCAATTCTAGACACCACCCAACTCCAAACTGACCCCATGTGGTACACAATAAAAACCAAACAACATATAATAAAACGATGAAGGAAAAGGAATAAAGAACCATGGAACTGATGGCAAATATTATTTTCCTCTTTAATAACCAATTGGCTCTCCTCAACCCAATGCTCTCTAAGGTGATACCCTTTCGATGTGCTAAAGCACAATTTCATTTTCAGGCTGGGGCAGATGGGAATTGGAGTCCAGCACATCCCAGAGCACCCAGGGATTTTTAAGTCACGCATGAAGACTTTTCAACAAATCAGGTTCATCATGTTTTTCTTGTCCCTTCCCCTCCCTTTCCAACGAGACTTCTTGCACCCCCATCATGCCAACTTGCGGTTTATCTTACCTGCCATGGTATTCGCGGGCAGTCCACTCTCTATGGGGTAATCTGCCATTTTGGCCCAGCGATACATGAGGGGAGGGGTGCCTGTTTGGGAGTCACAACGGAGGGTAATTTCGTTGCCGAGGAAAACCTTGCCTGAGATGGAGCAGTGTGGAATCGAGGGTTTCTCTGGAAGAAGGATGAAAACGGGGCGTCACTTAGCAAAAGTATTGTCAGCCTCGCCGGATAACCAGACAGGAATCACAACTGGACTTGAGCTAATTCTAATTTGTGGTAAAGCTAGATTGACGGAATCTGGTAAGTCTGAAAGTACAATTCTTTTGCCGTTACGGATTGAGAAATTTCTGACCCTCCTTTTATATGCATTACAGGTAGTTCTCGACTTATCACAGTTTGTTTAGTGACAAAGTTACAACAGCACTGAAAAAAGGTTCACTTAACAACTGTGTTACTAATTTAACAACCGCAGTGATCCACTTAACGATAGCGGCAAGAAAAGTTGTAGAACGGGGCAAAACTCACTGAACGAATTTCTCACTTAACAACAGAAAGGTTGGGCTCCGTTGTGGTCGTACGTCGAGGACTATCTGTCATCGTGTGAGCCATGGTGGCATAGTGGTTAGAGTGCAGTACTGCAGGCTACTTCTGCTGACTGTTGGCTGCCTGCAATTTGGCAGTTCAAATCTCACCAGGCTCAAGATTGATTCTGCCTTCTGTCCTTCCGAGGTCGATAAAATGAGGACCCAGATTGTTGAGGGCAAGAGGCTGATTCTATAAACCACTTACAGAGGGCTGGAAAACACTGTGAAGCAGTGTATAAGTCTAAGTGCTATTGCTAGTCCTTCCTTCCTTCCTTCCTTCCTTCCTTCCTTCCTTCCTTCCTTCCTTAATAATTTTAAATTTTAAATTGATGTTTGTCTTGTGTTTTTAAATAGGCTGTACACCGCCCTGAGTCCTTCGGGAGAAGGGCGGTATAGAAATAAAATTATTATTATTATTATTATTATTATTATTATTATTATTATTATTATTATTATTATTATTATTATTATTATTTATTGGTTAATCTTTAGTGAGATTCACAGCCTTTGAGGCTGGTTAATAGCTCAGCAGCTCGAGTCCTAACCAAGGACCTAGGAACTGTTAAGGTACCGTCGGAGGATGTAAGCTGTTCCGAGTAAGGTGGTTTTTTGTAGAGTAAAAATGTTCTAGTTATTTTTATTCAAATTATTATTATTATTATTATTATTATTATTATTATTATTATTATTATATTATTATTATTATTATTATTATTATTATTATTATTATTATTATTATTATATAAATCTAAGTGCTATTGCTATCGTCTAGAGAGCCTGAGCTCGGCTCCTGTCCAGAGTTCACACTCACTCACCGAGCACCTTGACGGTCACTTTACGAGTGGCCACCGAAGTCTTCTTCACTTTGCACTCGTAGGTGGCTGAGTCGGAAATCTGAACATTTTGGAGATTGATGGACGCGTCGTACTTGCTTGGATCCGGAGCCGCGAAATTGACTCGCTGTTGTAAGCCATTGCAGCAATCATTGCCTGACCCAAACCGCTGACCGCCTTCGCTTTGCTGAAATCCCGGGTTACTAAAACGGCCGGCATCTTGATTTCCGGACCCTCCCCTGGGGTGCAAATATGGGTATCCGGGATGGATCACTTGTTGGGCTTGATAGCTCAAGATCTGATGGGCAGGAAGCAGAGAACAACACTGCTGAATCAAAAAAAAAAGAGAGAGAGAGAGGTTTCTGATTGGCTTCAGGAGAAATGGGATCTGTCGGCAGCATTTTTGCCGAATTCAATCTCTCCGTTTTGATCTGAAGAATTGGACCCCATGTCATATATCCTTTCATTTTTGCAAGTCTACAAATATCATGGCACTATCGTTCTCCGATCCAAAATTGCAGAAATAAAGTCGTGTTTTTTAAAAAATTATTAGCTTTGATTCATTTCTCTCTCTCTCTCGACTTTGCAAACGCTAATAATAATCTTAAAACACAGCACCCAAAATTACGCACGAATTAATCTAACTAATTTTCCCGATTAATTAGACTTGGGAAAGGTAACTTATTAGGATGATGAAGTCTTGAAAAAGGGGTACACAGGTAGTCCTCGACTTATGACCAGGGGTGCTATTCAGCAGGTTCTGACAGGTTCTGGAGAACCGGTAGCGGAAATTTTGAGCAGTTCGGAGAACCACAAGGGATTCGAACCGCTGAACTGCTGACCTTTTCGATCGACAAGCTCAGTGTCTTAGCCACTGAGCCACTGCGTCCCTTACAAGTTACCAGCTTACAAATCAGCAGCTTACAAGTTACCAATAAGATCAATGAATAGATATTAGTTATGATATAATTGTTCCCTGGATTCTTGGTTAATACTCCTGTTTTATAAAAATAATATCCATTAAATGGCAGTGGTGTAACCAGTTTTAAGAAGGTTCCATCTTTAAGACATGAGTTTGAAAGTTTGAATATTGTTTCTCAAGCTTGACAACTGCAAGATGGGTGGGGGATTCTGGGAGTGGAAGTCCACCCATCTTAAAACAAGCTGGCCGGGGGATTGTGGGAGTTGAAGCCCACCCCTCTTAAAGTTGGTAAAGTTAAAAAACGTTGGAATAAATATTGATAACCTCAACAAACTCACCACATTGTCCAAATTGGTGGGATCAGCATTCATCTGTGTCCACTCAATATCCAAGTCATTGGGGCCATCATCTTGGGGTTCCAGCTCAAACGGACACCCCAACTTCACCGACTCCCCCTTAGCCAGGTAGATGATCTCTCGGCCTTTGGCATTGATCTTCACAGCAGGTGAAAGAGCTGTTCGTCAAAACAAAGAGAGAGGTGTCTTAACTTGCTGGTCCAACACCGGAGACTAACTTACTGCACAAAATAATTTAGAGACTTTCCCCAAAAATATTCCAGCAGAAAGATGAATATTTACATCCAGAAAGCTCCTTTCCTTTCCTTTCCATCCTTCTTTCTCTCTTTTCTTCCTTCCTTTCTTCCTTTTTTCTTTTTCCTTTCTTCCTTCTTTCTCTCTTTCTTTCTGTCATTTTTTTCTTTCTGCCTTCCTTCTTTCTGCCTCTTTCTTTCTTTCTTTCTTCCTTCCTTCTTTTTCTTTTTTCCTTTCTGTCTTCTTTCTGTCTATCTGCCTGTCTTTCTTTCTTTTCTTTTTTCTCCTCATTTTTGTCTTTGCTTTCCCTTCCTTCCTTCCTTCCGTCCTTCTTTCATTTTATTCTTTCTGTCTTCCTTCTGTCCGTTTTTCTTTCTTTCTTTCTTTCTTTTCTCCTCACTTTTGTCTTTGCTCTTTCTTTCTTTCTTTCTTTCTTTCTTTCTTTCTTTCTTTCTTTCTTTCTCTTTCTTTCTCTCTTCCTTTTTTCCCATTCCTCTCTTTCTTACCTTAGTAATTAGTTTTGGTTCATATTTCTCTCTCTTGCCTTTACAAAATCTAATCTCAAAAAAAAACCAACAACAAAGAGAACTAGAAACTTGTCTGTCTGCCGCTTTCCAAAGTGTGCTACAGTTCAGAAGCACCCCCCCCGCCCCCCGTTTCCCAACCGCCGGCTTCTCCAAACTTTTCCCCAGCCAGGGAAAAGCCACCTGGGATTGGGATGCCTTTTTTTGCCGCTTGCCAAGAACCGGACGATGCCAGCCTTACCCGGTGCCAGGCAGAGAAGGAAGAAGATCCTCAGGGCTTGAATTCCAATCATGCTCCACTTGGCACTGGACTTGGCAGGCTCGAGAGACAGAGACAGAGAGAGCGTCTTTGTCCCAGACTGGGGAGAAGCTGGAGAAGCTGAGCTTTTGATGCCGCGGGCCTGGTTTCTCCCTGCCCCTTTGGATGCCTTTGGGGTGAATTGAGGAGCTGCTACGCCACTCCCCAAGAGTGAATTGGCACAGCCGCCGCCCGCTCGCCCTTCCAGTCACGTTCTTACTCAGCCGTCGAAGGACAAGCGGGTGTCCTTTCACCATGGATGCCCCCAGAGGCTGAGGAAAGAGGACTGTTTTACGCTTCGTTTCAGCTTTGCTTTTGATTCCAAAGAAGAGAAGGGACCTTAGAGGTCATCCAGCCCATCCCCAGTCAATACACAGGAGGCTGAAGCCTCTGGAAGGAGAAGGCTTCGTCCACGCTTCCTGAACTTAAAGAGGACTACAGTTCCTCTCATGCCCAGCCAGTCCCAATAAAATTTAGGGTTGCCAGGTGTCCACTATTTGAGCGGACAGTCCACTTTTTTCACACTGTGTTCGCTATTTTTTTTTTTTTCACAAAATAGTGGACATTTTTTTTTTTATTCAAAAGCTTTATGATGAAATGGTACGTAATCTAAAGTCGAAGAGAATAAGGATAGGAGAATCGCGTTTTGTCTTTTTTTTTTTTTCCATAAGTTAGAATGAGACAAAGATCGAATGCTCGTTGCAATAATCACATTTTTACACAACAGCGCAAAAAACGCATTAAAGCAGTTCTCTTTGGATATCGAAAATGTGGCGCTGAAGGCTTTTGCCGAATTTTCGAATTGTGCGAAGAAAACGAGAAGAGTTGAAATCGTTTTTTGAGTTTGGCGAGTCAGAATTCCATGAAGTTTTGCGCCATGTTCCAACACGTATATATAATTTAATTGTAATTTTTTTTTAATTTTTTTACTACTTAACTCCCCCCCCACCGCTTGTCTGCTATTTTTTTGGAAGCAGACCTGGCAACCCTACTTCTATGCCCCCCACAAGCAAAGCTACTATTCTAGGCAACCCCACTTGTGGGGTGGGGGTGGAGGGAAGTGAGAGGGGTGGGTAGCTGGGCACGTGCAGTGAGAGGCATTACCTGCAAATGGGGCAGGAAGAGCAGTGAGAATGTGGGGTGCTGGTCAAGGGGGAAGCCATAGGCCATGGAGTTTATAGTCTCTCCCCTCAGTTATGAAAGCTCAGTGGTCAGGCCTGTCTCCCTCTCTCTGCCTAGCCTACCTCACAGGGATGGTGTGTGTATAGATAAAAGGAAGGAAGACCCCAGCTAAGATGACGTGAACTTGAGGAGGAGGAGGAGGAAGACGAGGAAGGGAGGGGGAAGTGAGAAGAAGAGGGAGGAAAAGGAGGATGGAGGAGAAGAGGAAGGAGGAGAGGAGAAGGGTGAGTGAGAAGGGGAAGAGGAAGGAAGGAGAGAAAGGGAAGGAAGGCGGGAAGGAAGGAGACAAAGAGAAGGAAGGAAGGAAGGAGAGAAATGGAAGGAAGGAAAGAAGGAAGGAAGGAATGAGAGAAATGGAAGGAAGGAAGGAAGGAAGGAAGGAAGGAAGGAAGGAAGGAGAGAAATGGAAGGAGCGGAGGGAAGGAAGGAGAGGAAGGGAGGGAAGGAGGGAAGGAAGGAGAGAAAGAGAAGGAAGGAAGGAATGAGACAAATGGAAGGAAGGAAAGAAGGAAGGAAGAAGAGAAATAGAAGGAAGGAGGAAGGAGAGAAAGGGAAGGAAGGAGGGAAGGAAGGAGAGAAAGAGAAGAAGGAAGGAAGGAAGGAGGGAAGGAAGGAAGGAAGGAGAGAAATTGAAGGAAGGAAGGAGAGAAATTGAAGGAAGGAAGGGAGGGAGGGGTGAACTGAGGGAGGGAGGAAAAGAAGAAAGGGAAGAGAGAGAGGAAGAATGACAAAAAGGAAGCCAAGCGGTCAAGAGAAAGAGAAGGAAGGAAAGGAGGAAGGAGAAAAGGTTGGATGGATAGAAGGAAGGCAAGAAGGAAAAAAGAGGAAAAAAGAAGTCACGAAAGGGAGGGAGGGAAGGAAAGGAAGAAGAAGAAAGGGAAAAGAGAGAGAGGAAGAATGACAAAAAAGAGAAATAATAAAAAGGGAAAACAGAAGCAGAAGAAGAGGAGAATGGGGGAAGGGGGGATGGGGGAGAAGAAGAAGAAGAAGAAGAGGAAGCAGAAAAGGAAAGAGGTGAGCTGGCACCTGCTGACAGGTGGCTGTGACCTCCCAACCTCTCCAGAGTCTCACTTCGGGCTCACCAGGGAGAGGCCATGACTATCCTAGTGTCTACAGCGGGCAGGATATGATCCCTGCCATCGGTTCGAGAACCCACAATTAATTCCTGGCTTGTAACAACCCAACTCGGGCGCTGCTCCAGGAGATGGGCTGAGCAGGCGGGGTGGGGACCGCTGAGGAATTGGCAGAAAAGGAAACCGTTTTTTTCCCCCTGGCAAACCATTCGCTTCCTCTTCAAACCTTGGCATCGCTCGGCAAACTTCGGCACATAAGTTGGCAGCAAAATAATTTTTAAAAACGCAAAAGATGTCGGTTGCCGCATTTCCCCAAAGGACTTTTATGACAGCACTGAGGAAAATCCTGCTCAACGACCACGCTCTGACCCACATTTATGACCGTTTGCAACATCCTGCAGTCACCGGATTTGAGATTTTGGGTGGATTTGTATGTGTGTGTTTTCGGCATTTATGTCTTGTTTCCAGCAAAAAAAAAAAACCTCACACCCGTTAAAGAAAACAAGGGGTTCGTTCCGGAATGAGGGGTTCGTTTAATGACCGCTGCAGAAAAAGGTTGCAAACTCGGGTGCAGTGACGTGGTGACCCGTCTTAACGGCCACGTCTTAACGACTGCAATTTCGGCTCCAAATACAGTCGTACGTCGAGGACTACCTGTATATAAACAGGATGCGAACGAAATGCACTACTTAGAAATCAACACAACGGCCCTTTTCAATTTGGGTTAGTTGTTATATTCGCTTTTGCTGTTGGTTTTGGCTCACCGGGACCTGTTATTATGTTCATTTGATTGTTTTTATTAAAATAAACAGCCTAAATTTTCATGCTGTTTAACTGGCTGCTGCGGAATGGCTGTGTTCTTTATTCCTTATTTATGGATGAGGGGATGATGGTCTGTTGATTTAGCACAGATGCTTCAAGAGGGGTGGACTTCCACTCCCAGAATCCTCCAGCCAGCATCGTTTAAAATGGGTGGGCTTTGACTCCCAGAATCCCCCAGCCAGCATGCTTTAAGACAGGTGGACTTCAACTCCCAGAATCCCCAGCCAGCATCCTTTAAGATGGGTGGACTTCGACTCCCAGAATCCCCCAGCCAGCATGATTTAAGAGGGGTGGACTTCAACTCCCAGAATCCCCCAGCCAGCATCGTTTAAAATGGGTGGGCTTCAACTCCCAGAATCCCCCAGCCAGCATGCTTTAAGACAGGTGGACTTCAACTCCCAGAATCCCCAGCCAGCATCCTTTAAGACAGGTGGACTTCAACTCCCAGAATCCCCCAGCCAGCATCCTTTAAAATGGGTGGGCTTCAACTCCCAGAATCCCCCAGCCAGCATCCTTTAAAATGGGTGGACTTCAACTCCCAGAATCCCCCAGCCAGCATGCTTTAAGAGGGGTGGGCTTCCACTCCCAGAATTCCCCAGCCATCATATTTATTTTATTCATCGCATGCCTGTCTTTTACATGTGTGGACACATGTACAGTACACTTGAGTGAAAGAGACGGATGAAGAGATTCATATAATAAGAAGCAGGGGACATGTGAAAGGGAGGTTAATCCCTCCTTCCCCCTCTTCCAAGATCCAGCGTTCCTTTCCTCATACATTCCCCCCCTTTTTTTTTCTGCAGCTAAGGTAGACTGCACCAGGCCAAGGGAGTTCCACAAACCATTTCCTCTGAGTGCAAACCGTTTTTTACTGGATCTTGTTCTTGCCTTCGTTGATTTTTTTCTTCCTTCCTGGCTGTCTGTACGCAACGAATTCACATGCGACAAAAGTGTATTACACAGCTATGCGTCCTGCCAAAAGGAAGTGACTTGGCAAGTGTTGACAAAAAGTTGGCAGCGCTGCCAGATTTTCCTGTCCCAACTTGATCTCGCTCCCAGCCCGGCTGAGGACTCTAATTCGGCTTCGAGGTCGCCGTTAAGAGTTGCCAAAACCTGGCACAAAAGAAGCTTTGCATAAAATCATCCGACGGACAATCAGACCGAAACAAGGTTCTGAGTCCCGTTAAAATTCCAAATTATGGGGGATCGAGGTACTCCGATAACCATCGTTCTGAACCTATCCAGGCAGACCCGAACAGATTTAGGGACTGTCCCCTCAGTCAAAACTTCACGCACAGGTGGTCCTCGACTTACGGCCATAGTTGAGCCCAAAAGTCCTGTTGCTGAGCGAGACTTAACAACTGCAGTGATTCGCTTAGAACTAAGGAGAAATCTCCTGACAGTGAGAAAAATTTATCAGTGGAACAACTTGCCTCCAGAAATTGCGGATGCTCCAACGTGAAGTTTTTAAGAAGATGTAATGTTGTACTACTAACTAGAGCATACAAAACATTTGCTAGACCAATTCTTGAATACAGCTCATCTGTCTGGAACCCACACTGCACATCGGACATAAATACAATCGAGAGAGTCCAGAGATATTTTACGAGAAGAGTCCTCCATTCCTCTAACCCAGGGGTCAGCAACCTGCAGCTCTGGAGCCGCATGTGGCTCTTTCACCCCTCTGCTGCAGCTCCGTCACTCAAAATATGTGTCACAACTCCCGGCACGTGATTTATTGAGCTTTTCAACCTCCGGTAGGCCAACCATGGATAAATCCAAGAAAAGAAAAGTTTCAGAAGAAAACAGAACGTTTAATTCAACTACATATGCTAGTTTTGTAGCCGCTGAAGAAGTAGTCAGGCACGGGAAGGGTTTTGTGGCTCCCGGTGTTTTCTTTTCTGTGGGAAACGGGTCCAAATGGCTCTTTGAGTGTTTAAGGTTGCAGATCCCTGCTCTAACCGCAATAAAATACCTTATGCCACCAGACTCCAAATTTTGGGCTTAGACAACTTAGAACTACGCCGACTTCAGTCTGATCTAAGCATAGAACATAAAATTATCTGCCACAATGTCCTTCCTGTCAATGACTACTTCAGCTTCAACCACAACAATACAGGAGCACACAATAGATACAAACTTAAAGTGAACTGCTCCAAACTCGATTGCAGAAAATACGACTTCAGCAACAGAGTGGTCAATGCCTGGAATGCACTACCTGGCTCCGTGGTTTCATCCCAAAACCCCCAAAACTTTAACCTTACACTGTCTACTGTTGACCTCACCCCATTCCTAAGAGGTCTGTAAGGGGCGTGCATAAGCGCACCAGCGTGCCTACCGTCCCTGTCCTAATATTCCTTTTTACTCTTACTCTTTTCATGTAAATTATGTTTATACTTTTATCTGTTATCTTATATATGCTTGACAAATAAATAAATAAATAAAATAAATGTTGGATAACCATTTATCTGAAGTGATGTAGGGTTTTCTGCCTAAGCAGGGGGTTGGACTAGAAGACCTCCAAGGTCCCTTCTGCTATGCTATACTATGCTATGCTATGCTATGCTATGCTATGCTATGCTATGCTATGCTTCTATTCTACTCTATTCTATTCTTCTATTCTATTCTTATTCTACTCTACTCTACTCTACTCTACTCTACTCTATTCTTCTATTCTATTCTTATTCTATTCTATTCTACTCTATTCTACTCTATTCTACTCTATTCTATTCTTCTATTCTATTCTTATTCTTATTCTATTCTATTCTATTCTATTCTATTCTATTCTATTCTATTCTACTCTACTCTACTCTACTCTACTCTACTCTATTCTATTCTACTCTACTCTACTCTACTCTATTCTACTCTATTCTATTCTTCTATTCTGTTCTTATTCTATTCTACTTTACTTAACAACTGTAGAGAGCAAGGTTGTAAAAGGGAGCAAAACTCGCTTAACAACTGTCTTGCTTAGCAATAAAAAGTCTGGGCTTAATTGTGGTCATAAATCAAGGGCTGCCTGTATTTATTTTTTAAACCGGATTTTAATAACATTGTTCCCGCTTTGTTTACTGTTATTTGGATTGATTTTCTTCGTTTTTCTTTTTTTTTTTTTCCTGGGGTTTTATTTCAGTTAGATTTCACTGTCCTACCAAGCAGAAATCTTTCCGGTCACAAGGCTAAATCTTTCCAGGCCAGAAAAAGGGTGATTTCTTGAACTCACTCGATTCCCTTTTCCAGAGAATTACCAGGCCAAAAAAAAAACCCAAAACAAAACAAAACCCACCAATTATCAGAATTTGCAAAGTTTTCTTGAAAGTTCAGCCTCCTCCAGGTTTCTGGGACTTTTTGACTTTTCAGTTCTGCTTTCTGCAAGAGGACGGACGCCAAACATATCATGGGAGTCCCTAATTCTTCCTTAAGTGATAAAAAGGGGATTTCCTGCAGGAGAAAAACAGATTCCATCATGTGAGATTTACTTTCCCTTTGCTGATTTCTTTTCTCTTCCTGCTGCCTTCCAGGACGGAGGTAAAATGGGGTCGGTCCTCCTGGCATGGATGCTCGCTTCAGGTAAGAGGAATCTCTTAAATTCACCCAAAAAAAACACAGAGGAGGAAAGCAAAAGGGCTGCCCCATTTGGGTAGGATTTAGGAAGGTGGGGAGTGACTCCTGTGAACTGCAGCTTGTTTGAAGATCCAGTAGTGGCCAAAATTGTAGAAAACCTTTTGGGGAAAAGTGTATTTTTGAGGTTTGATGGCTAATAACACCACTTTTGGGGGGCAGTTTCAAGATAATCCTTTTTTATATACATATAAAAGATTTTTTTATATATATATATAAGAGTTTTTATTGAATAAACAAGATTATAACAATTCAACGTTTTCGGTTTGGCTACGTGCAATTATGTTATATACATTATGTAAATAGTATCGAATAAAGTTTATATAGTTTAAAATTTAAATATTCAATATTTATACATTATTACATTGTCAGTTATAGTAGATCTTATTACTTTACCTATATATGTTGCATAAATAGTTTGATACCGTTTCCCTTAATTCAGATTAACATTTATATTTATTTCCCAGCCACCTATACCAAAATAATCCTATTCCACTGCTGGAATGGCCTGGGAATAGCCCAGACCTTCACCCAATTGGAAATCTATGGAGCCGACTCAAGAAACTTTGTTAGTCAGAAGCGACTCAGCAATCAAACCCAGTTAATAGAAGCCATTATTCAATCTTGGTTTCACATTAGAACAGCTGCAGAACTCAAAGACTTGGTTCACTCCATGGGAAGACGTTGTAAGGCTGTAATTCATGCTAAAGGTTACCCAACGAAGGATTAACTGATATGGGGATCATTTTTGTATATCTCATTTTTTTCTACGGTGATCATTTTTGAATACCTCATTTTTTCTATGGTGATCATTTTTTGTATACCTCATTTTTTCTATGGTGATCATTTTTTGTATACCTTATTTTTTCTACGGTGATCATTTTTGTATAGTATATCTCGTGTTTCCCTTTTCTTCTTTATACTGTAACTGCTCTTCTAATAGCAAGTCCTTCATAAAAGTGATTGCGTTACATTCTGGATTAAATTATCTTTCCATTGATATATCATTTTATGGTACTACTCCCCAAAAAAGTAAAAAGTGGTGTTATTAGCTAGTTTTAAAATGCACTTTTCCCAAAAAGTTTCCAGAATTTTGGCCACTACTGTAGAATATAGAATAAGGAGGCCGCTGGGATAACGATCATAATTTAATAGAGCTGGAAGGGACTTAGGAGGTCATCTAGTCCAACCCGGCGCCCAAGCAGGAGACACAACACCATTTCTGACAGATGGCAGTCCGGTTTCTTCTTGAAAGCTTCCAGTGATGAAGCTCCCACAACTTCTGAAGGCAACTTCTCTTCCACTGGTTAATTGTTCTCCCTGACAGAAAATTTCTCCTTATTTCTAAGTTGAATCTCTCCTCGATCAGTTTTCACCCATTATTCCTTGTCTGGCCTTCGGGTGCTTTGGAAAATAGCTTGACCCCCTTCCTCTGTCTGGCAGCCCCTCAAATATTGGAAGACTTGTTATCCTGTCTCCCCTGGTCCTTCTCTTCACTAGACTACCCATGTCCAGTTCCTGCAACGTACGTTTTGTTTGGGCTGGACTAGATGACTTCTGAAGTTCCTTCCAGACCTGTAATTCTACCTTTCTTCACAGGACATATTTGAGCTCGGGTTGGAGATTTGACTCAAGATGAGGTCTTCACAGTGTAGAATAGAATTACTGTATATATAAGTATATAATTATATATATCGCAGATGAAAATGTGATTAAGAAAATATTGGAATGTGCAGAAATGAATAGATTAACACTTGCAATTAGAGGGAAGGGAGAATCTGCTTATTATACTAGATGGGATTTATTTTATCCATGGTTAGAGAATAAATATGAAAGTAACGTATAGTAAAGTTAAATAAGTTAAGAAATGTTATGATAATAGATATGCTAAGTATTAAATATTCATATTAAACTAAGAGTAGATATAAATAATATGGTGGTAAGCTTTACACAAAAAAATGTGTACCCAGATGACACACTGTTTAATGAATGATGGAATGTTTTGTATTAATAGAAAAAAAAAAGAATTATATATTTATTTATTTTATTTTTTATTTATTTTATTTTATTTCTATACCGCCCTTCTCCTGCGGGACTCAGGGCGATATACAGCCAAGATAAAACATAGCATATAAAATTTAAAAAACTCTTTAAAAAAAATTTAAATAATTTTGGCCCAAGTTTAAAACAACCCAATTAAAACCAAATTCAATTATACTTAAGTATATACTCAATTATATATACTTTTACATGTAGATATATTTTTTTTCTTGTAGCTCTATGCATGTCGAGGGCCTACACACCAACGCAGGTGTTAGGAGTAGCGGGGAGCTCTGTTTTATTCAAAGCAGCCCCCCCTCCCAATTTTCACATCCGGGAGTTCATCTGGCGTTCCTTCACGCCTTCGGAAGAGTTGGTGGCCACCTCGTTCAAGGGAACCCCAGAGATCCAGTACCGGTCCCGTTACTACGGAAGGACTCGGCTCCACAACTTCACCTTGGAGATCGATCCAGTGGATTTAGATGATGCTGGGATTTTCTCCGTTCTGCTGGTGGACACCACAGGACAAATGAAACAACAAGCTTTTCAGCTGAAGGTTTACGGTACGCTGCGCTATCACACACACAAAAAAAGGCGTGTCAGAACCCCTGTTTATTAATTTGTTTTTGGGGGGGGTTGGCTGAAATAAGGACCTGTTTTGATTTGTTTTTTTCATTCCCTTCCCATCTAGAACAGAGGTGGGTTTAACATAATTTTACCACCGATTCGCCGTGCACTGAAACCGGTGTCCGCACCGGTTCGCGCAAACCTTTGGCAGAAATTTGGCCAAGGACGCGGAACCGGTAGTGATGGCTGGCTGGCCACGCCCCTGAACCGGTCCCCTGGTCGCCACTCTCGCCCCGCCTACCATGTTCATTGCCACTATGTTCTTCGCACAGGCGCATCCCATTCCCTTGCAAGTCCAATGGGATGCGCCTGCGCGAAGAACATGGCGGCGACGGCTGCAGCTTTTTCCGCGACCTTTTCGACAGCCTGTGGCTGGGAGCCGGTCAGCTTGCCTTACGGACTCTGGACCACTTGCTAGGGCATCTAGTCGCTGACCCTAATTAGTAGGCAGTGGTGGGATTCAAATAATTTAACAACTGGTTCTCTGCCCTAATGACCAGCTGGGTAGGCGTGGCTTGGTGGTCATGTGACCATGTGGGCCTGGCCAACTTAACATCACTCAGGTCGATGGGCGCTTTGCCTTAGCTGTTACAATGTAATAAGGGTTAACCCGAGAGGCAGTTTCTGTAAGCAGGGCAATAAAGATTAGGCTAGAAACAATACCAGAATGTTTCAGTTCCTTACAAGATTAGCCCTGTAAAGTGGGAAAAAAACAAAATAAGATTTCTTCCAACAACCGGTTCTCCGAACTGCTTAGAAAGTTAACAACCAGATCTCCTGAATAGGTGCGAACTGGCTGAATCCCACCACTTTTGTAGGGATGTTAAATTGGGAGGCTGGATGGAAACCTTTGCTGCTTTGATCCCTACTCCACGTTGCCCCCTCTCCTGATTTTTTGGCCTCTCTCTTCTTCCAGATACGATTTCGACCCCAGTCATCCGGCTGTTCACCGAAGAAAAAGACATAAATGGCTCCTCCGAATCTTGTCTACTGTTTTTGAGTTGCCATGCAGCCAGTAGGACTAATATCACTTACGAGTGGGCAGGGCTGGGGGGTAAGACTGGCCCAAGACTGAAACATTGGCACATGGAGGAGGGCCAGCTGCTACGGATCAAGCTAGATCCCAAGGAAGCTTTCCAAGTGAGCTACACCTGTACGGCCTCCAATGCCATCATCCACAAATCAGCCACCGTCGAGCTCCGTGACTCCTGCCAACGATCTTCAGGTAAGTCGCCAATTTGGGGCTTAACCTGAATCCCATTTCCCCAACTGGCCCATTCTCAAGATATTGGGACTATGAGGTAGTCCTCGATTTATGACCTCAATCAACCCCCAAAAACTTTAATTTTGCTAAGGGAGATAATTCAGTGAGTTTCACCCCCTTTTACGAACTTTCTTGCCCCGGGTTGCTAAGTGGATCAACGCAGTTGTCATCTTCATGACGTCGTCATTCAGTGAATCTGGTCGCAAAAGGAGATCACATGACCCCTGGACACTGCGACCGTCATAGATGTGGGTCAGTTGCCAAGCACCCCAATTTGATCACGTGACCACGGGGATGCTTTTCAGTCGCAAGTCTGAAAAACGGTCAAAAGTCGCTTTTTTCAGTGCCGTTGTAGCTTCAAGCGGTCACTAAATGAACTGTTGTAAGTCGAGGACTAGCTCTATCTCTTCATGCCCAAGATGATCTACAGGGACACCCAAACTGTTCCTGGAATCTCTGGGGTTTTTTTCCAGTGGTGGGATTCAAATAATTTAACAACCGGTTCTCTGCGTTAATGACCGGATGGATGGGCGTGGCCATGCTGGGCGGGGCCAGGGGATGTGATAGGCAGCACTCGGTCTCCTTTACCCCCTGGGAAAGAAAACGGGCCACGGGGGGACAGACCGCCTACCTGCACCCCGTTTTGGGCCTAGGAAGCCTCTCTGCACTTGCCTTTGGAGCCAAAATGGGGCACATGGGGACCCCTGGAAGGGCGGGGCAGCAAGGGGCGGGGCCAGCCAGCAATTTAACCACTGGTTCGCCCAAACCAGCACGAATCGGCTGAATCCCACCACTGGTTCCTCCCCCCTCCCCCAGCTTTTTCATTTGATTATCATTGAATTTGATAATTCGACCAGTTCGTTCTCACAGGGAGGGACTACTCAGGGTACCGTCAGTCAAATTATGCCGACTGGCGACTCCCAGGGGGAGGGCCTTCTCTGTGGGGGCTCCAACCCTTTGGAATGAACTGCCCCCCGGAGATACGGAATATCCCTGATCTCCGTGCTTTCCGCCGTGCCCTCAAGACCCTGATGTTCCAACAGGCGGGGCTAAACATACGAACATGCGAATGATTTTTTTAAATGTGATCTAATTCTGGGTTTTATTTAATTGACCAAACTAAGTAATAATTTTAATTAGCAATTTCATGATGTTTGTGTGTCTATATTTTTTCTTGACTGTACACCGCCTTGAGTCCTACGGGAGAAAGGCGGTATAGAAATATAATAAATAAATAAATAAATAAATAAATAAATTAATTAATTAATTAATTAATTAATTAATTAATTAATTAATTAATTAATTAATTTAAAATCTCCCCTACAGCATTTGCTCTCCAAGGTGGAGATGGGGAAGATTGCATTTGGAAAGAGTTGCTCTGAGCATGTGCAAAGGGCCTCCTCTCCTTATCCTTCAGCATGGGGGCGAGTGGAAGTTTTCCAAACAAGGCATCTAAGTCTCTCCGTTAAGAGTGATGTGTGCGAAGTCACACAACCCAGCCTTGCTGATTCGCAGTGTTTAACATGCTAGACAAGTTGAGCTTCCCTAATAGTTTGTATTCTGCTTAGTAAGAATATGCCTTATTTTTACTCTACTAAAGTATCGTGTCGTTAAGACCACACTTTGGAATATTGCAGTTTTGGTCACCACAACACGAAAAAGAGGTTGAGACTCTGGAAAGAGTGCAGAGAAGAGCAACAAAGAGGATTAGGGGATGATTGGAGGCTAAAACATACAAAGAACGGTCGCTGGAATTGGTTATGTCTAATTTATTAAAAAGAAGGACCAGGGGAGTCGTGATAGTAGTCTTCCAATATTTGAGGGGCTGCCACAAAGAAAAGGGGGTCAACCTACCATATTTTTCGGAGTATAAGACGCTCCGGAGTATAAGACGCACCTTAGCTTTTGGGGAGGAAAATAAGAAAGAAAAAAAAATCTGCCTCTGCCTACCAGCTTCCATCGGTATTGATCTGGCTAGCGTCCTGTCAGTGTGTGAGTGAGTTAAGGGCTGTTTGGAAACTGAAACAGTATTTGCTGTGTGAGCAACAAAGGAGACAGCAAGGAGCCTGAGCGTGACTTAACTCAACTGTTCTGTGCTAAAGCTGCATGCTGCTCTGAAACTAAAACTGAAACTGAAACTCCTCTCCTCTGCTTGGGTTTTGCTTGTATTTACTACCAGGTTGGAAAACCTGCTTTTGGTATTGGGTATTTACTTCATGTGTTATATTACATATAAAGAGAAGTTACTGAATCCTGTTGAATCAGTTACTTGTGTGTGCTTTCTGGATGTGATTGCTGCTGGAAACTCTGACAGTCCTCGCAGCAAATAGCGAAAAGCCAGGTCAGCTTCAACACATTATTGCAGCCTGATTCAGCACGAGCAGCTGATTGGCGGGTGAATCGGCCTCCCGGAATACCCCCAATCAGCTGTTCCAAGTTGCAGGGATTGCCACAGACCATCGCCGCCTCCATGCCTCGTGTTTTTGACCTCGTGGGCAGGGCTACATTCGGTGTATAAGACGTACCCAAATTTTCACCCTCTTTTAGGGTGGGGAAGTGCATCTTATACTCCAAAAAATACGGTATTTTCCAAAGCACCAGAAGGCCAGACAAGAAGCAATGGATGGAAATTAATCAAGGAGAGAAGCAACCTAGAACTAAGGAGACGTTTCCTAACAGTGGGGACAATTAACCAGTGGAACGACTTGCTACCAGACGTTGTGGGTGCTCCATCACTGGAGCACTTTAAGAAGAGACTGGACATCCCTTTGTTTGAAACGGTATAGATTAGAGTCTCCTGCTTGACCAAGGGGCTGGACTAGAAGACCTCCAAGGTCCCTTCCAACTCTGTTCTTCTATGTTCTCCAGAAGGTGAGAAGAAGACCGCACACACTCTCAGGGAGCTTCTCTTGATCGTCATCCCAGTGGTCTCCTTCTTCTTCTTGCTGGCAGTCCTTTCGTGTGTGTGCTACAAACAGCATTCCGGTAAGTACGGCTACTTTGATTAATTGTTCTCACCGTCACGAAATTTCTCAATTCTTTTTCATTATTATTTTTTTATTTGATTTATATGCCGCCCTTCTCCGGAGACTCAGGGAAGCAATAGCCTTCATACTTTTATATATTTTATACAAAGTCAGCTTATTGCCCCCACAAACTGGGTCCTCAATTTACCTACCTTAGAAAGGATGGAAGGCTGAGTCAACCTTGAGCCTGGCGAGATTCGAACCTGCAGTAATTGCAGGCAGCTGGTCTTAATAACAGGGTGCTTTAGACCAGTGGTCCCCAACCTTTTTATCGCCGCGGCCCGCTGAGCGCGCGCAGGGGTGGGGGCACGGCCCAGGAGCTTTTGCACACGGCCCATTGCGCACGGCCCAGGAGCCTTTGCGCTGCAGCGTTCATGTCCCCCGGCCGCTGCGCGGCCCGGTGCCAGGTACTCCACGGCCCGGCACCGGTCCGCGGACCGGGGGTTGGGGACCACTGCTTTAGACCACTGTACTACCAAGGCTCAATTCTAGATTGCATCTCTTTTTGATAACTTCCGACGAACAAACGAACACTCTAGCAGGGCCTCCTCTTACTACACAGGCTCTTAAAGGGCTAACAGCCAAAGACCCTGTTGACTCATACCCTTCATTGCATCAGCTAGTGAGTTCTTAAATTATCACCTTGACATACTTCTTGTCCTGCCCTCGGGTGCTTTGGAGCAGGGGTGAAATCCAGCAGGTTCTAACAGGTTCTGGAGAACCGGTAGCGGAAATTTTGAGTAGTTCGGAGAACTGGCGAATACCACCTCTGGCTGGCCCCCGAGTGGGGTGGGAATGGAGATTTTTGCAGTATCCTTCCCCCAGGAGTGGGGAGAGAAGGGGGATTTTGCAGTATCCTTCCCCTGGAGTGGGGTGGGAATGGAGATTTTGCAGTATCCTTCCCCTGCCACGCCCACCAAGCCACACCCACCGAACCGGTAGTAAAAAAAATTTGGATTTCACCACTGCTTTGGAGAATAGATTGACACCCTCTTCTCTGTGACAGCCCCACAAATATTGGAAGGCTGCTATTATATTACCCCAAATCTTTCATTAGATTAGACATATCCAGCTTCCGCAACCGTTCATTGTATATTTTATCCTCCAGACCCCTAATCATCGTTGTTGCTCTTCTCGGCATCCTTTCTAGAGTCTCAACATCTTTTTTTTATTATTATGGTGACCAAAACTGGACACAGTATTCCATAATGTGGCTTCAGCAATGCCGTATAAAGGGGTACAAACATTTCACGCATAAACATCTTGTTCAACAAATGTTAATATCTCTTTATAGGGAAGAAAATGTTCTACAAGGTTCCCGGAAATGAGTCCATCCAGCTTTAGCAGACAGGAAACGCAGATCTTCCTTGGGTTACTCCGGCTGAGAAGGTGGAAGGTGTTTCGTGGGGGAAAAAAATTGAGAAGTGGGAAGAAGTCGTGTTTGGTGGAAAGAGACTTCCCTTCTAACCCCCCAGAGAACTGAACATTGTCCTCTGGGTCTCGATACTACAACTCCCAGAGTTCCTCAGGCGCCACAGCAACCACCGAGAATTCTGGGAGCCGAAGATTGTCATCTGGGTTTGGGTACTACAACTCCCAGAATTCCTCAGGCGCCACAGCAACCACTGAGAATTCTGGGAGCTGAAGATTGTCATCTGGGTCTGGGTACTACAACTCCCAGAGTTTCCCAGGCCCCACAGCAACCACCGAGAATTCTGGGAGCTGAAGATTGTCCTCTGGGTCTCGATACTACAATTCCCAGTTTCCCAGGCGCCACAGCAACCACCGAGAATTCTGGGAGCTGAAGACTCTCATCTGGGTCTGGGTACTACAACTCACAGAGTTTCCCAGGCACCACAGCAACCACCGAGAATCTGGGAGCTGAAGATTGTCCTCTGGGTCTCGATACTACAATTCCCAGAGTTCCTCAGGCACCCTCCACAGCAACCACTGAGAATTCTGGGAGCCGAAGCCAAGGCAAGCACTTTTGAGAATTTCTGAGGAACCAAAGATTGTCTTTCAGGTCTGTGAATGACAATCAATCAAATCTTGATTATAGTCATGGACAAAGCATATTGTGAACTACAACTCCCAAGTTTCCCCAACCAGCACAGCCGCTGCTGAGAATTTTGGGAGCTGGAGACTGCCCTTCAAATCTGTCAACAGGCCACGCGCAACCTTTTAATTTCTGAGCCAAAACTCCAGCAGTCCCTATTTTGTTTTAATCAGCAATAAGGCAAATAAATGCCTATTTTTAAAAGGAATAAATATGGATCTCTCTCATCTCTCTGGTCTTTTTTTCTGTCTCTCTGTTTCTGTCTCCTTTTCTGTCTCTCTCTCATCTCTGTCCGTCTGTCTCTCGCTGTCTCTCTCAACTTTTTTCTCTCTCTGATCTGTTTCTGTCTCTTTGTCTTTTTCTCTGTCTCTCTCTCATCTCTTTGTCTCTCTCTGTCTGTCTGTCTCTGCCTCTGCCTCTCTTTATCTTTGTCTCTCTCTGTGTGTGTGTGTCTCTTTCTCTCTCTTTCTCTTTCTCTTTCTCTCTTTTCCTGGGAAGCTGGCTGGGGAAATTCCTTTAAGATCCCCAACCATGAGACTTTTGCAAAAGGAAATAGAGGATTGTCCTAGCATGCGCTCCAGTTTCACTTTTGAGTTCTGCAATATCCACGTTTATTTCCAAAGGTCAAATAAACCCAGTTGTTGTCCTTTTTTCTTTTCTTTTAAAAAAAAGCTTCATTTTCTTGTTGCAAACAGCACCATCTACTGGCTTTAAATAAGGAATTTGCAAATTATTATTTTTTTTTTTAAAGAAAGTATCCTTTCATTTAGGAACTCCTAATTATCGGACCCCCAAGTTCTCCATTTACAACCAGAATTGAGACCAGAATTTTCGTTGCTAAGCAAAGCAGCTGCTAAGCAACTCATGCCCAATTTTACCTTTTTTCTTGCCATGATTGTTAAGGGAATTACAGTCGTTCAAGCTTTCCCCCGGAAGAGTTATTGTAGAAACCTTTTGGGAAAAGTGTATTTTTGAGATTTGATGGCTAAATAACACTACTTTTCTTTTTTTGGAGTTTCAAGGTAATTCTATTCCACTGCTGGAATGGCCTGGGAATAGCCCAGACCTTCACTCAATGGAAAATCTATGGAGCTGAATTAAGGAACTGGTTAGTCAGAAGCGACCCAGCAATCAAACCCAGTTAATAGAAGCCATCATTCCATCTTGGTTTCACATTAGAACAGCTGCAGAACTCAAAGACTTGGTTCCCTCCATGGGAAGACGTTGTAAGGCCGTAATTCATGCTAAAGGTTACCCAACGAAGGATTAATTGACATGATATCTCTCATTTTTTCTATGGGGATAATATTTTGTATCTCTCGTTTTTTCTATGGGGATAATTTTTTGTATCTCTCATTTTTTCTATGGGGATAATTTTTTGTATCTCTCATTTTTTCTATGGGGATAATTTTTTGTATATCTCATTTTTTCTATGGGGATAATTTTTTGTATATCTCATTTTTTTTATGGGGATCATTTTTTTGTATCTGTCATTTTTTCTATGGGGATAATTTTTGTATCTCTCGTTTTTTCTATTCTATCCCACTGCCCTCTCTTCATCTCAAGTCTCTTCCGTTCTAATCCCACTCTATTCCCTTATGGCATCCTTTCCAGTGGTGGGTTTCAAAAATTTTGGTGGGTGTGGCTAGGTGGGGGGAGGCATGTGACTGAGTGGGCGTGACCAACTTGACGTCACTCGTGCCCAGTCACATGACACCCCCCCCACCTAGCCACGCCCGCAGAAAAAGGTAGGGTTTTTTAATTTTAATTTCCACCTATCTACCCCCACCCTCCCTTCGCCAGTCGCCCCCGTTTCCCCTCCTTTAGTGGCCCCGGCCCTAACCCCGCTTCCTCCCTCATCACCGCCTCTTTGTTTGGGCTGCTTACCTTCTGTGGTGGCTGGTCCAGAGTCTGGAAGGCAAGCTGACAGGAGTTTTTGGCGGCCCTCAACCAGCCGCTGCTGCTGGAAAGCGGCTCTCAAAAGAGGAGGGGCCTGGCCGCAGGCCGCCAAAAAGTACCGGTGGAAAAAGCTGCTGCCGTCACCGCCATGGACTTGCAAGGCAATGGGATGTGCATGCGCAAAGAACATGGCAGTGACTAACATGGCAGCCAGCGTGAGTGAGTGGCGACCGGAGGACCGGTTCGGGGGCATGGCCAGCCAGCCATCGCTACCGGTTCAGCAACCGGAGCCAAATTCCCACCACCGGTTCACATGAACCGGTGCGAACCAGTTGAATACTACCTCTGATCCTTTCCTTTCCCTCTGCCCTCCCATTCTTTCCCTTCCCTTCCCTTCGTCTTTCCTTCTTCCCATTCTTCCCTTTCCCTTCCCTTCATCCTTCCTCCCATTCTTTCCTTTCCTTCCATTTTTGTCCTTTTCTTCCCCTTTCCTTTCCCTTCATCCTTCCTCCCTCCCTTTCCCCTTCCCTTAGTCCTTCCTTCCTATTCTTTCCTTTCCTTCCATTTTTGTCCTTCCTTCTTCCCATTCTTTCCCTCCATCCCATTCTTTCCTTCCCTCATTGTCCTTCCTTCCTCCCATTCTTTTCCTTCCCTTCCTCCCATTCTTTCCTTTCCCTTAGTCCTACTTTCCTTCCTCCCTTTCCCTTCCCATCCCATCCCCTTCTATCCTATCCTATCCTTCCAAGCCCTTTCATGGCTAAAACCCAAAGGGGAGCATCTTATCAGGATAGGGGATGGATGCCTTGCATACCTCTGTTCTCAAAGATTTTTCCTTCCATCCCCTCATTGGAAAATGCTTCCCTCTTTCCCCCCACCTAAAAAAAAACCCTGGGAAAGGCCTCTTTCTTGTCCAGAAACCAAAACTAAAACGGGCATAAGACCCAAATCACATCATCTCAGCAATATCAAGGCAGAGCAGCAGAAGCCAAAAAAAGGTTTGCAAAAAAATGAAAAGACAGCAGCAAAACCAGAAACGGCAGGTTGAGCCCATTCAGTCAAAAAAAATTAAAATAAAATAAAAATTGGGGTGGAAACCTGCCGGGAAAATGCTCCCGAATCTCTCCAGGATTTGTGGGTGGTTTCCCTGCCACCCACCCACCCACCCCAAGACCCCAAACTTCTCTCCTTGCTTGGCCAGATATCCGAGCTCACAATTCGGGGCGACAAAACCCACACGGCTGAAACCAGTGAAAATCAAATTCCCAGGATCTATCGATGCAGGAGAGGGTGGGCAGCGTTTTTCCTGAACGAGGGTGAAGCCCCCAGAGCTCGCTGCAACGGATCAGGTTCTTCCTTATTCCTGTTTCTTTGAGAAATAAATGTTCCTTTTTTTAAAACATTTTTTTTTTTTGAGTGAGAGCCAAAGAACGAAGCACGGGGGGAAAAAAGAAGATTCAAGTCACAGGTTTACTGCGGTGCAAAACTGCTCAGCTCGAAAGAGAGAGAGAGAGAGAAAGAGATCCGTATTACTGGGCCATTGGTTCAAAAGCTGTGCAACAATCCCTATTCACCCCCCCTGCTTTCCCACCCCCCCAAGCTGGCTGCACTTGGGGAGGGGGGCGAGGGGGGGAAAGAGAGAACAGGGCTAAAACTTTTGCAAGAGAAAAGCGGATCCAGAGACATCCGGCTGGGCTATCCTGACCCACCCACCCACCCACCTTACAAAAATAGAAATTTTCCATTTCCGCTCGTTCCGTCCTTGCAAAAGGACCGTTTCTTGCTTTTCCTTAGGAAGGGCCAAGCCAAAAACATTTACAGGTGTGCAATGCATTCAGGTGTGCACTAATGCACACATACACTCTCGTGTCCAGCCGAGGGAAGAAGGGAGGGAAGAAAAAAACCCGAAGGACAAAAAATAAGTGTGTAGAAAAAAAAAAAAAAAGCTCTACCCTCGTCAAATGAAAAGAGAAATTCTCAAAGCTGAGAACCGCCTCGGTTAGTAAAAACACCGCCTCTCTCTCTCTTCCTCTTTCTCTCACACACTCTCTCTCTTCCCCCCCAAATGAAACAAGGGACCCTCGCCCTCCAACCCTGGTTTTTCGACAGGCTGACGCTCCGTCCCGGGTCGACACAAAGAGATTTGAAACCAGGGGCTACGGCTGGTGCAACGGGACAAGTCTGCGTTGTCTCTTGTTCGGGTCGAAGACACGGCTAACGATTCCTCCGAAAAAGGTGTTAAGCCAAGGTTAAAACATGGCCTGTTGTCCACACCGCTGCAAGTCCTGTAGAAACTGGTCACTGTCAGAGTTTGGCGGCCCGAGTTAAGACATCCGGCTTTTCTTCTTTGGGCCCCCACCTCCCCACTGATTTCTGCCGTCACAATGAGGAGGAGGAGGGGGCCTGGGTCTTCTTAAATCCGTTTTTTTTTCCATTTTATTTGGGGTGGGGGAAAGAGAAGAGGAGGGGGAAAAAACGTCCATCGGGGTCAGGCAAGGGAGGGAGCACGGCTCGCTCAATGGGAGGCAGAAGAAGGCAGTTCTAGTTTTTGAAGTCGGCGTCTGCGCAGTTCGGCTGCGTTGGGCTCTTCCGGAGAGGAAGGGTCCCCGTCGTGGCTGGAGGGCTGCGTGGACCCCTCTGCTTTGTCTGGAGATGTATCTGGAAACAACCAAAGAAAGAATAATTCGACAGGGGTTTAATTGGCTCTGATAAAGGGGTTTAAAAAGTGCCTGGTTTTTGCCCCCTTTTTATTTTAAACTGGGTTGCATTTGTTCAAATTATTTTTGGCGCGGCAGGAAGTCCTTGATTTACGACCACAATGGGACTGGAGTTACGGTCCCTACAGTAGTGGCCAAAGTTGTGGAAACCTTTTGGGGAAAGTGTATTTTTGAGGTTTGATGGCTAATAACACCACTTTTTGGGGGGAGTTTCAAGAGAATCCTATTCCACTGCTGGAATGGCCTGGGAATAGCCCAGACCTTCACCCAATTGAAAATCTATGGAGCCGACTAAAGAAACCGGTTAGTCAGAAGCGAGCCAGCAATCAAACCCAGTTAATAGAAGCCATCATTCAATCTTGGTTTCACATGATTAACAGCTGCAGAACTCAAAGACTTGGTTCACTCCATGGGAAGACGTTGTAAGGCCGTCATTCATGCTAAAGGTTACCCAACGAAGGATTAACTGACATGGGGATAATTTTTGTATATCTCGTTTTTTTCTACGTGTTTCACTTTCCTTCTTTATACCGTAACTGCTATTCTAATAGCAAATCCTTCATAAAAATTATTGCATTACATTCTGGATTAAATTATCTTTCCATTGATATAGTGGTGTTATTAGCTAGTTTTAGAAAATACACTTTCCCCAAAAAGGTTTCCAACAATTTTGGCCATACAACAATATTGCAAATGATGGAGTTGCTGAGCGAGTCGTCATTGCACCAGATCTGATTTTACAACCATTTTTACTGTGGTCGTTAAATGAACCCGGCTCCCCCCCCCCCACTCCGCCATTGATACTGCTTGTTGGAAGCTGGCTTGGCAAGTCGCGAATGGCGATCACGTGACCCCTGGATGCTGCCATTGTCTTGCAAATGCAGGCTGGAATTCTGGGAGTTGAAGTCCACACATCTTAAAAGGTTGGCAAAGGTTGGGAAACGCCGGTCTACAGGTAGTCCTCGACTTACAACTGTTTGTTTTAGTGACCTACGTTACAACGGCACTGAAAAAAGACCGTTTTTCACACTTAACGACCGTGTGACTAACTTATCAAGTTGCAGTGATTTACTTAACAAGAAAGGTCGTAAAATGAGGCAAAACTCGCTTAATAACCGTCTCACTTTAGCAAGGGAAATACTGCTCAATACTGGTCGCAAGTCGAGGACTCCCTATTCTGGGAGCAACGCTGGGGCCTCGACTCCAGACCCCTCCCCTCTTCAAGCCCCCCCTCTTGTCACCACCGCCTGCCTGAGGTTCAGGTGAGGTTACCTGGTGAAGAGGTGCTGTCCGGTGGCTGGGAGGTGGAGGTGGTGGCTTCACTGGAATTGGATTCAGGGCTAGTCGGGGTCTCAGGAGGGGCCATCGAAGGGGCTGAAGCACTGGGGGGCGTTGGGGCAGCTCGAGGCATCCTGTACAAAAGAGGCAGCAACTCAGAATTGCATAAGTGTGATAAGGCAGAATAGGAATTTAAGGAGGGAGGGAAGGAAGGAATGAAGAAAAAAAGAAAAAAGGGAGGGAGAGAGAAAGAGAGAGAAAGAAAGAAAGAGGAAGGAAGGGAGAGAGAAACAGAGAAAGAGAAAAAGGAAGGAAGGAAAAAAGAAAGAAAGAGTGGGTGGTTGGGGAGAAGAGGGAGAGAGAAAGAAAAAGAAAGAAAGAAAGAAAGAAAGAAAGAAAGAAAGAAAGAAAGAAAGAAAGAAAGAAAGAAGAAAGAAAGAAAGAAAGAAAGAAAGAAAGAAAGAAAGAAAGATCGGGTTTTCAATTCAATTGTATAAAATGTGAAGGATGTGTGTTTTATTTTTATAGTTATAATGTACACTGAAGATGGCATTTAATTTCGTTGTATGAGGTGCAATGACAAGAAAGTAAATCTTAACCGAAAAAGAGAGAAAGAGGGAAAGAGAGAGAGAAAGAATAAAAGAGAGGGGGAAGGGAGGAAGGAAGGAAGGGAAAAAGAGAGAGAAAGAAAGAATAAAAAGAAGGAAGGAAGGAAGGGAGATAGAGAGAAAGAAAGAAAGAATAAAAGGAAGGAAGGGAGAAAGAGAAAGAGAAAGAGAGAGAGAGAGAATAAAAGGAAGGAAGGAAGGAAGGAAGGAAGGAAGGAAGGGAGAGAGAGAAAGAAAGAATAAAAGGAAGGGAGAAAGAAAAAGAGAAAGAGAGAGAAAGAAAGAATAAAAGGAAGGAAGGGAGAAAGAGAAAGAGAGAGAGAGAGAATAAAAGGAAGGAAGGAAGGAAGAGAGAGAGAAAAGGAAGGAAGGGAGAAAGAAAAAGAGAAAGAGAAAGAGAGAAAGAGAAAGAAAGAATAAAAGGAAGGAAGGAAGGAAGGGAGAGAGAGAGAGAAAGAAAGAATAAAAGGAAGGGAGAAAGAGAAAGAGAGAGAGAGAGAGAGAATAAAAGGAAGGAAGGGAGAAAGAGAAAGAGAAAAAGAAAGAGAAAGAAAGAATAAAAGGAAGGGAGAAAGAAAGAAAAAGAAAGAGAATGAGAAAGAAAGAAAAAGAAAGGAAAGGAAAGGAAAGGAAAGGAAAGGAAAGGAAAGGAAAGGAAAGGAAAGGAAAGGAAAGGAAAGGAAGGACATGTGTGAGAGGGAAGGGAAGGGAGGGGAGAAAACAGAGAAAGAGACAAAGGAAGAGGGAGAGCAGAGGGAGAGGGAAACTCACCCGATCGTTGCCAGCACAGTGAGATACTGGTTGATCTGGAGCATGGCCGCATCCAGGAGAGTGTGGATGTTTTGCAGGCACTGCAGCCGAGCTTCCAAATGTTGCCGCTCGTGGCCTTCCATGGCCCGCAGCTCCTCCTCCGTCAGCCCTGCGAATCCCGAGGGGGGAACCGGCATCGGAGGGAAGCCTAAAGCAAAGGAGAGGAGGGGGACACATGGGACAGGAGGACTCGCCCGCCCCCCAAAAAAGAACCAGTCCCTTAAGTCTCCTGCAGGACAGCAAAACCGGGCAATCAGAAGCTGCCAAAGTCAGAACCCGTCAACGGAAAACGAGCGCCGATCTCCCTCCGCCCCTTTGCGGGAAGCCACACCCAGGCCCTCGCCGGAACGTACCAAACAGAGGGGGGAACGGCATCCCCATCCAAGGTGGAGGAAAGGGGAAACCTGGCACGGCCCCTGCGGAGGTTGCGGTGTCCGACGTGCTGGCCGAATCCCCGGTGGGCCTGGCGGTGCCTGTTGAGGAAACGCAGCTCTGTTAAAAGACCGCCCCCCTTTGGGTGGCTTCCCTAGCGGAACAGCCAGCTGTGCGAGGGTGTCTCACCTGCTCCTTGGGATCCTGGTGGGGAGGACGCGGCCGCGGAGGCACCGTCGGTATTATTGGGGGGCTGGACGCCCGGCACTGGAGGGAAAGGAGCCATGGGTGGCCACAGAGGGAACATCCCGGGAGGAAACGGAGGCAGGAGGCCTTGAGGGACTGGAGGAAGAGAAGAAGGGCATCAACTCTGCTTCTAAGAGAGGGTTGGAGAACAATGGCCCGTTTATGACGGGTGGACTGCAACTCCCAGAATTCCTGAGCCAGCCACGCTGGCTCAGGAATTCTGGGAGTTGAAGTCCACCAGTCATTAAAGGGGCCATCGTTTCCCCCACCTCGGTTCTAAGGACCGGATTTATCCCAGCCAGCCAAGAATTTCAATTGGCCGTTATTTAAAATTACCGTCTTTTTCAGAGTATAAGACGCACCTTAGTTTTTGGGGAGGAAAGTAAGAAAAAAGCTGATTGGCGGGTGGATCGGCCTCCCGGAATACCCCCAATCAGCTGTTCCCAGAGGTGAATTTTAGTAACACGTTCCTTGGTTGTGAGCTCTGTGCCTTGCTTTTTTTTCTGCCTCTGAAAGCCTCCGAAACAGAGCTTCAGAAAAAAAGGCTTTTTTTCTGAAGCTCTGTTTGGAGGCTTTTTTTTCTGAAGCTTCTTTCAGAGGCTTTTATCCTGAAGGACTATCTGTACTCTGTTCAATCTCCTTTCTTTGGTATTGGTATGTAGATTAACCTCTTCCGATCTGTTGGTTATTGTGCCATTCTCCAGATTCGTTAGCATAGTTTGGTTAGAACCTTTACTGATTCTTCTTTTGTTGCTTGCCATATTATTTTAGATAAAAGCCTTTCAGAGGCTTTTTTTTCTGAAGCTCCTTTCAGAGGCTTCTTCCAGCCTCTGAAATCTCCGTTTGCGAGGCTGGGCGGGGCTACATTCGGAGTATAAGATGCACCCAGATTTTCACCCTCTTTTTTGGGGGGAAAAGGTGCATCTTATACTCCAAAAAATATGGTATCTGATTCAGAAAAGCCCGATCCCAAGCATACCTGCAAGACAGTAGAAGACACAATGCAGGCGAAGAGATGAAGAACCAGGTGGCTGAGTTCTAGTCTCACGTTAGGCATGAAAGGCACCTGGACTGACTGGGGGCTAATCACCAGGAGACGGTGAGTTCTAGTTCCACACTAGGCATGGAAGGCGGATAGATGACTTTGGGCCAATCATTAGGAGACACAGAGTTCTAGTCCCACCTTAGGCAGGAAAGCCAGCTGGGTGACTTTGGGCCAATCACCAGGAGACACAGAGTTCTAGTCCCGCCTCAGACTGGAAAGCCAGTTGGGTAACTTTGGGCCAATCACCAGGAGACGGTGAGTTCTAGTCCCGCCTTAGACTGGAAAGCCAGCTGGGGGACTTTGGGCCAATCACCAGGAGACAGTGAGTTCTAGTCCCGTTTTAGGCTGGGTGACTTTGGGCCAATCCCTCTCTCCCACCCCAGCCTACCTCACAGAGTTGTTGTAGGGGACTGGCTGGGAAATGTTGAGAGTTGAAGTCCGTCCCCCCCCCACTGTTAAAGAGGTTAAAGGTGAGAAAGATTAATTAGCATAGCAGCTCCCAAAGTGGGACTCACAGTTGGGCGGCTGAGGCATCAAGGGGGCCTGATGGGGGGGCGGATGCTGCCCTCCTTCCGGCTGCTCGGGGGGCGGCTGCGACTGGGTGGGCAGGGAGGCGCGCAAGACGTCCATCCGGCAAGTGGGGCAGGTCTGCTGGCGCTGAAACCAGGATCGGAGGCAACTGAAGAAGATGAGAAGCCCTTGCAGTTCTAATGGGTGGATTCAAAACTGCCTTCCAGGTCATTCTCTCTCCTTCTGTCTTTCTTCTTTTCTCTCCTCTCTCTCATTTTATTTCCTTTTCTTTCTCCTTTTCTCTCTCTCGTTCTATTTCCTTTTTTCTCCTTTTCTCTCTCTTCTCCTTCTCTCCCTTCATCCCCCTCTTCTCTTTCTCTCCTTCTGTCTTTCTCCTTTTCTCTCCTCTCATTCTCCTTTTCTCTCTCCTCCTTCTCTCCCTCCCTTCCCCCTCCTCTCTCTCATTTTCTCTCCTCCCTCCCCCCCTCTTCTCTCCTCTCTCTGTCTTTCTCCTTTCTCTCTTCCTTTCTCTCCTTCTTTCTCCTTTTCTCTCTCCTTCTTTCCCCCTCCCTTTCTTTTTCTCTCCTCCCTCCCTCCTCTCTCTTTCCTCTCTGTCTTTCTCTTTTTTCTCCTTTCTCTTTCTTCTCCTTTTCTCTCTCCTTCTTTCCCCCTCCCTTTCTTTTTCTCTCCTCCCTCCCTCCTCTCTCTCTCTCTGTCTTTCTCCTTTTCTCCTTTCTCCTTCCTTCTCCTTTTCTCTCTCTCGTTCTATTTCCTTTCCTTTCTCCTTTTCTCTCCTCCTTCTCTTCTTCCCTCCCCCTCTATCATTTTATCTCTCCTCCCTCCCCCTCCCCTTTTTCTCCTTTTCTCTCCTTCTCTCTCCTCTCATTCTTTCTCCTTTTCTCTCCCTCATTCGATTTCCTTTTTTCTCTCCTTTTCTCTCCTCTCCTTCTCTCCCTCCCTCCCCCTCCCTATCTCTCATTCTCTCTCTCTCTCTCTCTCTCTCTCTCTCTCACACACACACACACACACACACACACACATTCCTGCAGACAAATCAAGCTTTCAAGTGCACCCAGATTCACTCGGGTTTTCTATTTTAAAAAAACACACACTTCTCCCCCCCACCCCCACCTGGTATGGAATATGTGATTGCATGGCAGGCGTTTCGCGCCCATCACCATCTCCTCCCGGCAGATGATGCAAACATTGTCCATGGCCTGGAGCTCTTCTGGGGTGGCATCGGGATACCTGAGGAGAATAAGGCCAGACATCTAAGTTCCTTCCCTTCTCCCAAGAACAGCCCAAAGCTGACATTGTGAACTCAGCAGCTGTGCCAATCAATCAATCAATCAAGATTTGTTTTGGATGGATAGATGACAGAGAGAGAGAGAGAAAGAGAGAGAGAGAGATGGATAGATATGTTTGTGCATGGGGTTCAACAAGGAAACAGGTTAATATTAATATAAAAATCTTGCTGCCTGTATGTACCACTTTTTCTCCTTTTCTCTCCTTCTCTCTCCTCTCATTCTTTCTCCTTTTCTCTCCCTCATTCGATTTCCTTTTTTCTCTCCTTTTCTCTCCTCTCCTTCTCTCCCTCCCTCCCCCTCCCTATCTCTCATTCTCTCTCTCTCTCTCTCTCTCTCTCTCTCTCTCACACACACACACACACACACACACACACATTCCTGCAGACAAATCAAGCTTTCAAGTGCACCCAGATTCACTCGGGTTTTCTATTTTAAAAAAAACACACTTCTCCCCCCCCACCCCCACCTGGTATGGAATATGTGATTGCATGGCAGGCGTTTCGCGCCCATCACCATCTCCTCCCGGCAGATGATGCAAACATTGTCCATGGCCTGGAGCTCTTCTGGGGTGGCATCGGGATACCTGAGGAGAATAAGGCCAGACATCTAAGTTCCTTCCCTTCTCCCAAGAACAGCCCAAAGCTGACATTGTGAACTCAGCAGCTGTGCCAATCAATCAATCAATCAAGATTTGTTTTGGATGGATAGATGACAGAGAGAGAGAGAGAGAGATAGATATGTTTGTGCATGGGGTTCAACAAGGAAACAGATTAATATTAATATAAAAATCTTGCTGCCTGTATGTACCAATGGTGCTTTTTCAAAAGGTAACCGGACTTCCTTTGTTTTTCCTTTAAGATGTTTCGCTTCTCATCCAAGAAGTTTCTTCGGTTCTGACTGAACGGTGAAGGACGAAAGCATTTATATTCCTTGCAGTCATCTGGTCATTAGTACTCTTTCTGAGAGTCGTGGAGGCCACGCGGGAGGTTTTATCCATGGCTTCAGGATCACCTGAATAGTGCAAATGGTGTGGAACCTTCTTGCAACTGCTGAAAAGGACTGTGTTGTAAACAGGAGAATGACTCTCAGAGAGAGTACTAATGACCAGATGACTGTAAGGAATATAAATCCTTCTATCCTCCACTGTTCAGTCAGAACCGAAGAATCTTCTTGGGTGAGAAGGAAAACATCTTCAAGGAATTTATAGTCCTTGAATTTGGGACAACCGTGACCTCGATGACTGAGGATCTCCATAAACATTTGCTGCCTATATATTTAGGTCCTAGGGCTGTTAATGTATACGTAAGGATCTTCCATTAGGAAACAGATTAAACTCAATGTAAAAATCTTGCTGCCTGCATAAAGGACCTTCAACTAGGAAAGAAGATCAGGCGTTCCTGAAAATACTCACAGCGTGTTCATGTTGCGGATTGCCCGACGAGACATGATCGCATCCGTGACTGCCTTTTTGAACTGCCTAGGATGGAGATAGCAAGAGTTAGTCCTCAGGAAAACTTTGGATACACAATAGAGTTAGATCAATGGGAGCAACTACGGGAAAGAAACAATTAAGTTAACAATGGCAACAGCTTACAAAGAGAATTTGTATAAAATGTTTTATAGATGGCATATGTCACTGGAAAGATTGGCAAGAATGTTTAAAGGTAGATCAACTAAGTGTTGGAAATGTCACCAGACACCGGGATGGTATTACCATATCTGGTGGACATGTGTGGAAGTGAGAAATTATTGGGCAAAAATTCGGATTTGGTTAGACAAAATGACTCAGCAACATATTGACTTAAAACCGGAGCTGTTTCTGTTGGGTATTTTACCTGAGGAAATTAGTAAAAAAAAAAAAAATGTATATTTGATTATTCATGTAATAACTGCAGCGAGAATTGTATTTGCACAAAATTGGAAAGCGGAAAAAATCCCTACAGAGGGAGAGGTCGTTAAGAAAATATTAGAATGTGCAGAAATGAATAGATTAGCATCAGCATGAAAGGGAAGGAAGAATTGGAATATTACAACATATGGGGGCAATTTTATTATTGGATAGAAAATGAATATGGATAAAAAGTGGTGTAAAATTAAATAAACCCAGAAGAGAAATGTTCTAACAGGAGATATATTAAATTTGAAATGTAAATGCAAAGAAATATATATATATTATGACACACAAATTTGTATACAGATGACACACTGAATGATAAATGATGTAACGTTTGTTTTATAAAATAAAAAACTTTTTATTAAAAAAAAAGTGTTAGTCCTCAGGGGATGAACTGGCAGGCAAGACAATCTCGGGGGGAGGGAGGGGGGAGGGGGGGTGGAAATACCCTTCACCTGTGGAGAGGTGCAGAACTGCAGGTATGCATCCTCCCAATTTTCCTGCATTGGACTCACCTCATTGCCAGGTACATCGGCCGGATGGCGAAAAGAGGGAAGGTGTGAACTTTGATCATGATCGTCATAAAAGCCATGTAGAGAAGGACCTTGATGAAACCTGAGGAGGAAAGGATAAATAATTCAAAGCTGATTGGCAGGTGGATCGGCCTCCTGGAATACCCCCAATCAGCTGTTTCCAGAGGGGAATTTTAGCAACAGGTTCCTTGGTTGTTGCATTTTTTTGCTTTTGGTGGTGCATTTTTTTTGCATTTTTTTTCTGCTTCTGAAACTTCTGAAACTCTGTTTCAGAAAAAACTTTTTTTCCTGCCTCTGAAAGCCTCCAAAACAGCTTCAGAAAAAAAGCCTCTGAAGCTCTATTTGGGGGCTTTTTTTCTGAAGCTTCGTTTCTGATGCTTCTTTCAGCCTCAAAACCTCCGTTTGAGAAGCCAGGCGGGGCTACATTCGGAGTATAAGACGCACCCAGATTTTCACCCTCTTTTTGGGGGGGGGGAGAGGTGCGTCTTATACTCCGAAAAATACAGTAATTAAGTGAATCACTTGGTCGTTAAACAAATCTGCCTTCCCCGATTGACTTTGCTTGTCGGAAGCCGGCTAGCAAGGTTGCAAATAGTGATCACATGACCCTGGGACAGTGCAACTGTCGTAAAGTACATGCCAGTTGCCAAGCATCCGGATTTTGATCCCGCGACCACGGGGATGCTACAAGTGTGAAAAAATGGTTCTAAGTCGCTTTTTAAACTTTGAAACGGTCCTTGAGCGAACGGTTGTACGTCGAGGACAACCTGTGTGGCCTCAGTCGTGCTACTTTCTTGGGATAGATGGGTTGGGTTTGGGGAGGGTCTTTTTACTTCATCCCCAGATCTATTTACCCGTGAAGAGTTCTGTGTAGAGCATGAAGACGGCCTTGTTGTCCCAGGGATTTTCACTCTGGAGGTCGATGGAGTGCAGCAGGTATTTGATGAAGACGGTCAGCACCATCGTCATGAGGATGGCGTACTGTGGAGAGGCAAGAGGAAAAGGATTACAAACCGGAACTTAGTAGAACAAGGCGCCGACAGGCTTGGCTTCCTTCTAACACTGGAGTTTAGATCGTAAGCCCAGTCCAGTTTCACTTAGCGACAGCGAGAGTGTCCCTTAATGACCAAGTTAAGTAAATATGAAGCAAATATGCAATATCAAAAGCAGATTTTCCAATGTGGTAGTTAATACAAGCAAAACACAAGCAGAGGAGAGGAGTTTCGGTTTCAGAGATCAGCACAGCATGCAGCTTTAGAACAGTTGAGCTGAGCCATGCCCAAGCTCCTTGCTGTCTCCTTCCTTGTTGCTCACACAGCAAATACTGTTTCAGTTTCCAAACAGCCCTCAACTCTCTCACACACTGACAAGATGCTAGCCAGACGAATCCCGATGGATGCTGGTAGGCAGAGACAGAATTTTTTCCCCCTTATTTTCCTCCCCCAAAACAAAGGTGCGTCTTATACTCCGGAGCGTTTTATACTCCGAAAAATACAGGTATACATCCAATTATTATTTATTATTATTATTATAGGTATTTACTCACCTCAAAGCCAAAGACCAGCTGGACGGAAGCCCCCCGGGTCAGGATGCTATGGTAAGCGTGGCTGACAAACAGGAAATCTAGGATGGCCAGAAGCACCATGAGAGCTAGGGAAGAAGAGAGGCCATTTTGTCACTGGAAAAGCAAAAACGGAGTGGAGAAAACACACAACACACCAGAAATTCACAACATCCTAAGGCAGTGATGGCTAACCATTTTGCCATCGCATGCCAGGAAGGGGGGATCGGGGGGGGTCGCATGCGCGCGTGCCCTCACCCATAATTCTATGCACTCCGCCCCCGCGCATGTGACCCCTCCCTCCTGGCACACGATGTCCTGGTAGGCCCGTTTTTCTTTCTCACCTGACTCCAGGGCCTCTCTAGGAGTCTGGGGAGGGCGAAAACGGCCTTCCCCACCCCACCCCACCCCCGGAGGCCGAAAACGGCCCATTTGACTACTTCCTGTGGGACCGGAACTTATTAAACAGGCTGTTTTCGGCCTCCGGGTAGGGTGGGGAAGGCCCTTGTGGTCCCGCCGGAAGTTGTTAAGCAGGCCATTTTCGGCCTCCGGAGGACCTCCAGGGGGGTGGGGAAGACTGTTTTCGCCCTTCCCAGACTCCTAGAGAGGCCCTGGAGCCAGGTGAGAATCTACCCTAGGGAAATTTTATTTTCAGGTAGATTTTATGGCTGAATTCTCAAGAATTTGCCTTCGGAAGTTGTGGGACTGTCATCACTTGAGACTTTCAAGAAAAGATTGGACTGCCATTTGTCAGAAATGGTGTAGGGCAGTGATGGCTAACCTTTTTGCCGTCACGTGCCAAAAGCGGGGGGAGCGTGGGGGGGTCGCGGGTGCGTGTGCCCACATCCATAATTCAATGCACCCTGCCCTCTTGCGCATGTGCATGTGACCCCCCCCTCCCCCCTGCTTTTGGCATGCGATAGCACGGTGGGCCCGGTAGACCTGTTTTTCACCCTCCCCAGGCTCCAGAGGTTTTCTAGGAGTCTGGGGAGGGCAAAAACAGCCTTCCCCATCCCCCCAGAGGCCCTCCAGAGGCCAGAAACTGCCAATTTCCAGACTTCCGGTGGGACCAGAAGGCCTGAAAATCAGTTGGTCGGTGCACGCATGCGTGCTGGAGCTGAGCTAGGGCAACACTCGCGTGCCCACCAATATGGCTCCGTGTGCCACTTGTGGCACGCGTGCCATAGGTTCGCCATCACAGGTGTAGGGCCTCCTGCTTAGGCAGGTGGGTTGGACTAGATGACCTGCAAGATCCCTTCCAACTCTGTTCATCTGAAGCCAAACTGGGATCCAGTCTCAAGGCACAACCAATCAAATGGAGCGAACGAAAACAAGGCCAAAGGGATCACGGGAACAGTCCAAAAAAAAGAAAAGAAAAGAAAAGAAAAGAGATAAGAAATTTAATAGAATAAATATATGTTACTTACAGACAATGCGGAAATGAAACAGCCAAGATATGTTGGGGCTTCTCTCCATCTAGAAGGAAGAAACATCAAGTTTAAGGGGCTGGGGAATTCTGGGAGTTGAAGTCCACGCCTCTTCAAGTGGCCAAGGTTGAGAAACACACGGCTTTGTTATAGAAACGGCTACCCGTATTTTTCGGAATATAAGACGCTCCGGACTATAAGACGCACCTACCTTTTTTTGGTGAGAAAAACAAGAAAAAAGAAATCTGCCTCTGCCTCCCAGCAATTCTGCCTCCTTGCAGCAAACAGCCTGCTTTGCTTTCATTTTCGTTTTCGGCAGAGCTTGATTAGCACAAGGAAAAAAAATCTGCTCCCAGCAATTTACCTCCTTGCAGCAAGCAGCAGAGGCCCACGCAACAATAGGCAGTAGCAATCCCTACAGCCTGAAACAGCTGAGAGTCGGGAGGCCAATCCAACCGACAATCAGCTGCTTGTGCTAATCAGGCTGTGCTGAAGCTGAAACGGGCTGTTTCTACTTGCTGCGAGGAGGTAAATTGCTGGGCGGCAGAGGCCAAAGGGTGGGGGCCAGGGGGTGGGCGGGGCTATATTCAGTGTATAAGACACACCCAAATTTTCACCCCCTTTTAGGGGGGGAAAAGCGTTTTATACTCCGAAAAATGCGGTAGTTTCTATTATTATGAAAAAGTAAAATATTGAGGGTAGTTCTTAATTGCCTTATTTTACTGCACCAAAGGAGTCGGAAGTCAATGCCTTTTTTTTTTCCTTTTTCCCTTGCTTTCCCCACTAACCACTTCCCTTTTTCTTTTCCTAATTTCCCCAATATTTGTTTTTGTGTTTTCTTTGCATGTCATATTATAAATCAATAAAAAAAACTACATGAATAGAGAAACACGGCTTTAAGAGTTCAACCGGTAAAACCAGTTTTCCCTTGACCTGGTTTAGTGCCTCGTGCTTCGCACCCACAAACGCGAGTTAGGGATCGTACTTACGAAATCCACCCGGTCTTCAGCCAGCCAATGGAAGCACTTGAGGAAGAGGAGGAGGGTGAAGAGCGCTACAAAACGAGGACTGAAGTCGTCCCTGAAGACGGTAAAGGCCAGGCAGGTCTCGGTCACGGCGTACCACGAGCGCTCGAGCAGATGCTGGGTGCGAAAAGATGGGATATACAGTAAGACACGGCTAAACCCAAACTGAGGGACGCGGTGGCTAAGACGCCGAGCTTGTCGATCGAAAGGTCGGCAGTTCAGCAGTTCGAATCCCTAGTGCTGCCGCGGAACGGGGTGAGCTCCCGTGACTTGTCCCAGCTTCTGCCAACCTAGCAGTTCGAAAGCAGGTAAAAAAAGAGACTTTTTCCCTTCGCTAAACCGGGCATGGGCGGTGCGTAATGCATCCGGCCCACGGGCCGGGAGTTTTGATAGTCCTGCCCTATAGTATTACAGGCTGACTCTGCCGACTGCCAGCAGTTCGATCCTGACCGACTCAAAGCTGACTCAGCCTTCCATCCTTCCGAGGTCTGTAAAAATGAGGACCCAGATTGTTGGGGGGCAAGAGGCTGACTCTGTAAACCGCTTAGAGAGGGCTGTAAAAGCACTGTGAAGCGGTATATAAGCATAAGGGCTACTGTTATTGCTATAAGGAGATGCCGAATTTGGCGACTGTGTGGCTCAGAACGCTGGACTCTTGCTGGCCAGCCGCTGGATCCCACAGGATTCTTCTTCTATCCCTAAATATCTACTACAATCTCCTCTCTTTCCCCACCCCTTTCTTACAAGGTTTGTGTATGAATCTGTTGTTGTTTTTTAAACTGCTGCTGTAAATGTAAATGTGAAACGCTTTTAATGGCTGTGTTTTGTTTTTTTTTGTCTTGTCTTTCTCTCAGTCTCCTTCCAGGTGCTCTGTTGAGAAGGGAAGTGAAACCTGAATTGGTTAACAGATAAATAAATGGTTTTGACAAAGGAAATCCAGCCGAGTGAGAAGCCATATGCTGAAGCAGTTACCCCCCAGCTAGTTTTCTACAATTAAAAGTATTTTTTTTTTGTCATTCTGGCTCCGAAGTGAACAAATGAACTTAAAAACTGGACACCAAGAGATCCTGAATACAGGGAGTCCTCGACTTACGACCACAACTGAGCCCAAACTGTTGCTAAGCGAGGCATTTGTTAAGTGAATTTGGCCCAATTTTATGACTTTTCCTGCCACGGTTCTTAAGTGAATGATTGCAGTTCTTAAGCTAGTCACACGTCGTTAAGTGAACCTGGCTTCCTCATTGGCTTTGCTTGTCAGAAAGTCACAAAAGGGGGATCACGTGACCCGGGGACTCTGCAACCATCATAAATATGAACCAGCTGCCAATGTCTGAATTTTAATCCTGTGATCATGGGGAGGCTGCAATAGTGTGAAAAACGATCGTTAAGTCTTTTTTTTTTCAGTGCCGTTATAACTCTGAACGATCACTAAATGAACTGTTTAAGTCGAGGACTACCTGTATTCCATAATTCTGCAAATGGATATTTTTCTGTTTGATGCCTTCACATCTCTCATTTCCAGCGTCAAAATAGTTCCAATCAAAATTGTTGTTAGTTGCGTGTCCGACCCATCGCGACCCCATGGACAATGTTCCTCCAGGCCTTCCTGTCCTCTACCATTCTCCGGAGTCCACTAAAGCTCACGCCTACAGCTTCCATGACTCCATCCAGCCACCTCATTCTCTGCCATTCCCTTCTTCTTCTTTTGCCCTCCATCATTCCCAGCATTAGGCTCTTCTCCAGGGAGTCCTTCCTTTTCATTAGGTGGCCAAAGGATTTGAGTTTCCTCTTCAGGATCTGGCCTTCTAAAGAGCAGTCAGGGTTGATCTCCTCTAGGACTGACCGTTTGGATGGCCTTGCAGTCCAAGGGACTCGCAGGAGTCTTCTCCAGCACCAGAGTTCAAAGGCCTCCATTCTTTGGCCTTCTCAGCCTTCCTTATGCTCCAACTTTCACAGCCATCCGTTGCAACTGGGAAAACCACACCCTTGATTATATGCACTTTTGTTGGCAGGGTAATATCTCCGCTTTTTAGTATTCTATAATCAAAATTAGCTCCAAATTATTGGTGTGTGTTTCAGAGGTAGGTTTTAGCAGGTTCTGACCAGTTCTGGAGAACCGGTAGTGGAAATTTTTTTGAGTAGTTCGGAGAACTGGTAGTAAAAATTATGACTGGCCCCGCCCCCATCTATTCTCTGCCTCCCAAGTCCCAGCTGATCGGGAGGAAATGGGAATTTTGCAGTAACTTTCCCCTGGATTCAGGAGAGAATGGAGATTTTACAGTATCCTTCCCCTATAGTGGGGTGGGAATGGAGATTTTACAGTATCCTTCCCCTGCCACGCCCACCAAGCCACACCCTCAGAACGTGTAGTAAATTTTTTTTAAACCCACCACTGGTGTGTTTGTGTTAATTACACCATGCAGAAATTTATCCGAAGAGAATAAACACTTAACTTTGTACAATTGGCTCTTTTTAAAGTTCACAAGACTCATGATTTGGGGGGAACAGAGAGAGGGATGTCTTAATAATTGGTGCTCCGAGCTTCAAATAGATGCTTCTTTGCAAAAGGGGATCGAAGTTTGCGAAAGCCCATTTAAGCGCGGCCTCCTCTCCCTGAGGCTAATGCTACCGGGCTCTGGCAATGACTCACCTCCATTTCTGCCGCTCGGAGTTGTCCGAAAAACACTTTGCCCATGAATTTGCCTAGCAGGAACACCAAGACAAAAGCCTGAATGTACAGGACCTGGCATCGCAAGAGAGCAAAAGACAAAAAAATAAATAAAAAAAGTGGTTTAGATAACCATCCGTAAAGAGAAGTAAAATTTGCAAGGAATTCTGTACGTTTTTTTTAACCCTTCTCTTCTTTCTGGTCACAAAAAAAGTTCCTTTCTCTAGTTAGCGAGGTGACATTTCTAACAGGAAACAATTTTATTTGTACTCTTTTATTATTTTCTCAAATAACTCAAGGCGACGCACATACTTTCTTCCTCCTATTATCCCCACAACAACAACCCTGTGAGGTGAGAGGGACTGGCCCAAATTCACCTAGTCAGCTTTCAGGCCTAAGGTGGGACTAGAACTCACCATCTCCTGGTGATCGGCCCAAAGTTATCCAGCTGGCTTTCATGCAAGACTAGAACTCATTGTCTCCTGGTGATTGGCCCAAAGTCATCCAGCCAGCTTTTGTGCCTAAGGCAGAACTAGAACTCACTGTCTCCTGGTGACTGGCCTAAAGTTACTCAGCTGGCTTTCATGGACAAGGTGGGACTAGAACTCACCATCTCCTGGTGATTGGCCCAAAGTCATCCAGTTCGCTTCTGGGCCTAAGGCAGCAGAATTACCTTGCAATGCTGCATTCTAACCACTGAGCCACCACGGCTCTTTAATTAGTTAGCTGGTTAAATAAATAAAAATATAAAGGTAAATAAATAAAGAATCAATATTTCAACCTGACTGGAACTATAACTCCACTGCCTACGTTGACTAGAAATCTTTGCTTAGGAGCCGTAGCATATCTGAAGGGCAAGGAACTGGAGAAAAGCCACAGCTAAAAAGCCCTTTTCAAGGCTACGTTGAGCCACGGTGGCGCAGTGGTTAGAGTGCAGTGCTGTGGGCTACTTCTGCTGACTGCCGGCTGCCTGCAATTTGGCAGTTCAAATCTCACCAGGCTCAAGGTTGACTCCATCCATCTTTCCATCCTTCCGAGGTGAGTAAAATAAGAGTGTTGGGGGCAACATGCTGACTCTTTAAACTGCTTAGAGGAGGCTGTAAAGCACTGTGAAGCAGTATATAAGTCTAAGTGCTATTGACCTTCCTTCCTTCCTTCCTTCTGTCCTCTACCTTTCTTTCCTCTGTCCCTCCCTCCCTTTCCCTTTCTTTTTGACTTCTTCCTCTTTCTCTTCCCCTTTTTCCTTCCTTCCTTCCTTCCTTCCTTTCCTTCCTTCCTTCCTCCCTCCCTCCCTTCCCAGTGATTAGAATGCAGTATTGCAGGCTAACTCTGCCCATTGCCAGCAGTTCAATCCTGACCAGCTCAAGGTTGACTCAGCCTTCCATCCTTCCGAGGTGGGTAAAATGAGAGACCCAGATAGTTGGGGGCAAGAGGCTGACTCTGTAAACCGCTTAAAGAGGGCTGGAAAGCACTGTAAAGCAGTATATAAGTCTAAGTGCTATTGCTACTCCCGGGACCGACTGGGGAGGGGCAGACTCACCGCCATGCTGGGACTCGACTTGGTCAGGTACACCACGGTGGGGTAGAACTGGTGCTTCAGGTAATAGGCGTGAGCTATCACGGCGGAGGTTAAGGCCAGGCTGGCAGCCATCATGATGGCAGTCCGGAACATCTCCCTAAGGTCCGGCGCACTGCAAGGAAGAGACAGGAGGTAAATGACGGGACACGCCTGAATTGGCACTCGCTGCGGTGAGTGAAAAATAAAAACAAGAGCTGGCTGCTGGATTTGCATGGCTACGCCTCAGTGCACCTGGGGTTGCTATTCTCAACCTCTGACGGACGCGGCTGTTATTGTACAAGCACGTCTTGGTGGGACGTTTATGTGCTTCGGCGTCTCTCGCCTATGGAAAACGAGGGTCTGTATGGCAAACAACCCCAATCCTCTTTCTCCTCATATCCTATCAACTCCAGAGGTGGAAGAGGACATTTTTTCTTCCTGTGTTAGCCACTCCTTTTTTTTTTTTTTTTTTTTTTAAAAAGTTTTTTCAAATAAAAATTTTCCCCCCTTTCCCCCCCCTTCCACCCTAACCCCCCTCCCCCTCCCCTTCCCCTTTGACTTCTTCATAATAAAACCCAAATTCATAACAGATTATATCATACTTTACCATCCACTTACTCCATCTCCATATGCTGACCCTTTCTTTCTAATAAAATTATCATATCCCCCTTATATTATACTATAATATACATTTCAAAGTGACATTCTATTATAACATTATCTAATAACTCCTAATTTAACATAATAATGTTATTATATCTCCCAATTTAATGATTATATCCCCCTTATCCTATACTATAATATACATTTCAAAGTGACATTCTATTATAACATTATCTAATAACTCCTAATTTAACATAATAATGTTATTATATATATTATATCTCCCAATTTAACGATTTCCACTCATGATCTACCCTGCCACTTCTGTGGCTATCATTGCAAGTGCTGGAATTTATTAAAACTGCAGCCATAACAAAAGCCGAACTCTGAGAAACAAGCAGGGCTTAAATTAAATTAAAACAGCCGCTTTCTTTAACTGACAAGACTGATTTTACTACCAACAGTCATTGTGGGGGTGAGTCAGGGGGAAACGCTACTGTTCAAATCCCCGAATCTTAAACCTTGCTCATAAAATTCAGTAAAATACGACCTATGTGTTGTCGAAGTTTATCTTATAAATTATAAGCCTCCCATGGCTGGGAGAAAATGCTGCTGTTAAAAACCCTGAAGCCCAAATCTTGCTCATAACAATAAGTTATTACCTACATATTTCGAAGTTTATATTAAAAGCTACAGAAACTTTAAGTCAAACAGGAATATAACGTATGACTAGCATCACAATTTTTAATGTTTAACTCGGTTCTCCGTAGCACGCGTGTGTCAGACTGCGGTACTATCTCAAAATTAAATGAATTTCTTTTCTTTGAGCTTAGCCACCAGATCATGACTCCGCGCGGACAAGACTGACCTTTTGCCTCCCAATCCCTCCCTTTCAAATCCCCAAGTCTCTGCTTCTCAAGTCATTCTTCAGACTTCTCGTCATTTCTCAGGAATGTGCCCCCTCCCCTGATTTCCACGACAACCAAGCTTCAAAGGGATTTTGCAGGCAAAAGGTTCAGAGTTTATCTTTCGCTCTCCTCTGCTCTCTCTGTGCCAGCGTTGCAACGCTGACAGCGTGTTGTGCACAAAAAAGTTGTACACGATGGCCAAGTTTTCTTTCTCTCAACAAAATATTGCCGGAGATATTATGTCTCAAAGTTGGTGGAACCTCAGAGTCATACTGTAGAAGGCTGAGATATGGGGGTCACACAAATGACTATATCTCCGCAAGTATTTGCATCGGCACACGTAACACTTTATCAATGTTTATTGGGGGGGACACGTATGCATGTTCACACAAAATTTCATCGAAATCCGTGATGGTCGAGCAGGGCACTTTTCTGAAATCAGATCACTTGACCTGGAATGACCCATGTCACACACACAGAGACAGACAGACAGACAAAACTCTGCTAATTGGGATTGTATCTGAGGTGCTAACTGTTTCTGTTATTGGGACCTTAAAATAAAGATATTGTCTATGGAGTTTCTCAGTCATCCAGGTCATAGCTGTTCCAAATGTGCTTTTTCCAAGAATGAGAAGCTGAAGAAGCTTCTTGGATAAGAAGCGAAACGTCTTCAAGGAAAAACAAAGCTCAGTTTTCGTTTGGAAAAAGCACCTTGGGACAATAACTGTGAAAATATCTACAGACCCCTCACATCCTGGACATAAACTGTTTCAACTCCTACCCTCAAAACAACGCTATAGAGCACTGCACACCAGAACAACTAGACACAAGGACAGTTTTTTCCCGAACGCCATCACTCTGCTCAACAAATAATTCCCTCAACACTATCAAACTATTCACTAAGGCTGCATCTTCTCATCCTAAGGCTCCATCTTCTCACCCACCACCCATCTCCTCCCACTTATGACTGCATGACTGTAACGTTGCCGTATCCTACAATTTATATTGTTTCCTAGTAGGATTCAATTGCTTATTTGTACCCTATGACTATCATTAAGTGTTGTACCTTATGATTCTAGATGAACGTATCTTTTCTTTTATGTACACTGAGAGCGTATGCACCAAAGACAAATTCCTTGTGTATCCAATCACACTTGGCCAATAAAGAATTCTTTCTTTCTTTTTCTTTCATTCTATCTATCTATCTATCTATCTATCTATCTATCTATCTATCTATCATCTATCTATCATCCATCTATCTATCTATCTATCTATCTATCTATCTATCTATCTATCTATCTCCCTCCCTCTCCTTCCCCCCCCCCCTCTCTCTAATTTGTGCATCTCATCTGGCCTATCTAACATGATGTACAATGACAATAAAGGCTATACTACTATATCTCAAACGGGATATCTCAGTGGCTAAGACGCTGAGCTTGTCAATTGAAAGGTCGGCAGTTCAGCGGTTCGAATCCCTAGTGCCGCATAACGGGGTGAGCTCCTGTTACTTGTCCCAGTTTCTGCCAACCTAGCAGTTCGAAAGCAGGTAAAAAATGCAAGTAGAAAAATAGGGACCACCTTTGGTGGGAAGGTAATAGTGTTTTCCGTGCGCCTTTGGCGTTGAGTCATGCCGGCCACATGACCACGGAGACGTCTTCGGACAGCGCTGGCTCTTCGGCTTTGAAACGGAGATGAGCACTGCCCCCCTAGAGTCGGGAACGACTAGTACATATGTGCGAGGGGAACCTTTACCTTTACTATATCTCAAAGAGCTTACAAGAAACTCAGCAGCTGAGAACACAGAACTTGTGATATCCTACTTCCCGAATGAGTGACAAGGTGTATCTAGAGAGTTTGATTGCTTAGGCAAAACTTCTACAGCAACCTTGAGTTCTCCCAAAAACCCAACCTGGTAAAGTCCTGCTCAGAAACGTTCGCAGCAAACATGCGAGAGGTATTATGTATCTTAACACAAGTGAGCCAAGCTGTACGTGGCAATTAAAAGCTGACAGATGAAGCAACCTATTCCCAATCCAAAAGTTGACATTCCAGGGATAAGGTGAGGCACACACACCTGTTAAGAAGGTTCTTTGCACAAGAGCTCAGAAAATTCATGATTGGAGATTCAGCAAGTCGTCCCCGTCTCCCACATCAGCCTCCCAAAATTTGCTATCAAACACAGGGAAAAGTATCTGGGTTAAATATCTGGATTTGTTTATAAACCCACCAGACAATTGTGGGTTCGCAATTCACAGTGTGGAATTTTGGGGAGTTGAAGTCCATGCCTCTTAAAGCTGCTGAGAAACGCTACACTCGAAATTATTGGATTAAAATTAAAACATGGTTAGAAGAAATGCTACAACTACATATAGATTTAAAACCTGAGCTGTTCCTACTGGGTATCCTACCAGAGAAAGTCAGTAAAGAAAACATATATTGGATTATACATGTAATAACTGCGGCGAGGATAGTATTTGCGCAAAGATGGAAAGCAGAGAAAATCGCTACAGAGGGAGAAGTAATTAAGAAAATATTGGATCGTGCAGAAATGAATAGACTGACTTTGACAATTAAAGAGAGGAATCGGAATATTATAAGATATGGGGGCAATTTTATTATTGGCTAGAGAAGAGATATATATATATATATAGGGAAATGTTGTAATGAAATGAGTGAAGAGAAGATAGATAAATATGTATTAATAGAAAAGTAATAAATGTGGGAGAAATGCTATAATAAATGTAATGAAAATATTGAGATATGATAAACATTGGAGGAGTAAGAAGATACAAAAGATGCACTCAGATGGATTTACTGAATGACTGATTATGTATTGTATGTTTGTTTGTCTATAAAATAAAAAACGTTAAAAAAAAGAAAGAAATGCTACACTAGACTGAAATGTGGGACATCCTGTTTTCCTACTTTCCAACAGGCCAAGGAGTCGTAAAACAGATACGGTGGATTCACAGGTCTCTGCACAAGCTTTGTGACTTGTGTTGATCCGGGAACAAGAAAAAGATAAAATACAAGCGTCAAACCAGCAGAGATGTAATGTGAAACTCCAATATATATATATCAAGAGTTCACACTAGGAACTGCAGGAAGATGCAATGACAGCATCTATGCGTGTTAATCTTGAAATAGATGTGCTTAATGCTGGGGAATGTGCTTGAGCCACACCCACACAATACAACACAACACAACACCCACACACACGACCCCTATAAATAAGATAACCGGTTTCATTCGGGGAGAAGTATACTATCTATTTTTAAGAGAGGCACAGTTATCGTCCCTTCAATGTGCAGCGTGCAAAAGACCACCCTGACTTACAACCTTTCGTTTAGTGACGGTTCAAAGATACAACGGCACTGGCAAAAGGGACTTACTTAAGGACCGTTTTTTACACTCACGACTGTTGCAGCGTCCCTGTGGACACGTGACCAAAATACAGATGTTTGACATGTCTTTATGACGTATCGCGGTGTTCCCTTTGTGCAACTTTCCGACAAGCAACCTCATTGGGGAAGCCAGATTCACGTAACAACTATGTTACTAATTTAACAACCGCAGCGATTCACTTAACAACGGCGGCTAGAAAGGTTGTAAAATGGGGCAA